TGGTATGTGGTCTGATGGGGAATCGAGCTTGGAACCTTTTGGTGTACGGAGACAACACTTAACCAACTGAGCTACACTGCTGGGCCAGAATCCCCACTCTTTCATGATGACAGTGTGGGTGGGAGATGGAAAGGAAGGGCCCTAGAAAGCAGTTTGAAAGGTGCTCATGCTTCCTCTCTCAAAAATTCTACCAGGCTCTTTTCACATTTAAGAAAGAAAACATTGAGAGAACACAGAGCACCAAGGATTTGAAATCCAAAGTACTTTCTGTGCCTATGAACCATGACAAGCAGATTTTTGAGAACTAGACAAATATGAACTAAAGAGGTAGGAGTGGGGAAGTGTTGTATAAATGCTTAGGCCAGGGTAATCCTACTGGTTGCAGTGGGAAACAGATTATTAAACTATATACATACTAGAGGCCCGGTGCATGAAATTCATGCATGGGTAAGGTCCCTAGGCTTGGACGATGATCAGGGCTGTTCTGCAGGGCGACCAGTGGGGTGATCGGGGGTGGGGGGGTCCCCGCTGGCTCCTGCCTTGGCTGGCTTGGTGCTGCCTGCTCACCGGCCCTACCCCCTGCTCTCTGCTCCCCACCGTCGCTGCTGGTTGGGGCCTGTGGGCTGGGGGGCAGCTCCTGCATTGAGTGTCTGCACCCTGGTGGTCAGTACTCATCATAGAGACTGGTCGTTCCGCTGGTTGGTTAATTTGCATGTTAGGCTTTTATTATATAGGATATAGACAGAGAGAGAACTTTGGAATATATCTATATCTACAAAATGGAACTCACCTCCCTAAGCAGGGTCTTTCTTAACTAGCCCTTTCCAACTTTTCTAGCTGTATTTCTTGCTGCAACCTGCCAGATACCCTGACTATTTACTAATCACTCATTCAGTGGATATTTATTGAGCACCCAGGACATCTCAGGAAATAGGTAAATAAACAACTAAGAATATGGTGTGTTAATTAATTCATATTGATTACTATAAAGGGGTTCTATAGAAAATAATCTCACAGGGTGATCTGATCATAAATTCCTAACTGGGCAGGCTAGAATGGGTAGTCACACCTCAAGCATATAACTTTTTATTTTTAAAACAATTTTTATTGACTTCAGAGAGAAACCTCAAGAAGGAGAGAGAGAGAGAGAGACAGAGACAGAGAGAGAGAGAGAGAGAGAGAGAGAGAGAAAGAAACATCGATCTGTTGGTGCCCCAACCTGGGATCAAACCTGCAACCTGGTATGTGGCCTGACTGGGAATCGAACCTGCCACCTTTCAATGTATGGATGACGCTTCAACCAACTGAACCACACTGGCCTGGGAAGGCATATAACTTTTTTAGTAAAAGATTTATCTTTGCCTTAAGCAAGGCCCATCCATTGTTTTTGGGGCATCCAAGATAACACACCTTTGCAATAAGGTTAACCACTCTAGGAAAGCAAATACTACTGTAATCTTGTTAACTATCCTGTAATCCAATCCCTGCCTTGCTTTCTCCCACCTTTATGTAATCTTTCTTCCCTTCCCGCCTTCCTTTATCTCAAATGTATTAACACACACACACACACACACACACACACACACACACACACACACAAACAACACCTGCCAAACTGTCATTTTCCTGAGCATTTGAGATCTTGCTTCCTGGCAATTGTCATCAGTTTGGCTCAAATAAAATCTTATAAAAATTCTTTACAGGTTTGGATGTTTCTTACATTGACAATACTGTATATTCCAATGTGATGGCATGAGCACCCATAGAAAGTATTCTTCAGCTTTCCTTCTTCCTGCCCTTGAACCTGGTTTGCAGTTTCCCCCCTTCCTGGCTCTCTGAGCTGAGGCCCTTCTCTCCAGAGCAGTCTTTGGCCTTTTGTGATGGAGAACTGGGAGGAAACTGGGAGGCAGGAAGACAGGCCAATACAGGGGGACGGAGGCCAGGGCCCTAGGGTTCTTTAAGGGCTGCAGTTTGTGAGAATGACTGAGAGATGGATGGGAAAGAAAGCAAAGTATTTTAAGGGAGTGATTGGTGGTTCTGTATTCTATTCTGGGTGTAAAGAATTACAAATAAAGACTGTGCATAGTTTTATTTGTTTAGAGAGTGAGGAAGGGGGGGCAAGAGAGAGAGAGAGAGACAGACAGACAGACGGTCAGTTGCCTCCCTCACATACCCCAACTGGGATCAAATGCACAACCTGGGTATGTGCCCTAACCAGGAATTGAAGTGGCCGCCTTTCTGTGCATGGGATGATGCTCAACCAACTGAGCTACACTGGCCAGGGCAAGACTATGAGTAGCTTTAAAAATTACCTTTTGGTTTCTTTTCTTTTTTTTTTTTTTTTAATATATTTTATTGATTTTTTACAGAGAGGAAGGGAGAGAGATAGTTAGAAACATCTATGAGAGAGAAACATTGATCAGCTGCCTCCTGCACACCTTCCACTGGGGATGTGCCCGCAACCCAGGTACATGCCCTTGACCAGAATCGAACCTGGGACCTTTCAGTCCGCAGGCCGACACTCTATCCACTGAGCCAAACCAGTCAGGGCTACCTTTTGGTTTCATAGAAGGCATCCTTTTGACTTATACAGCACTCTGGGGGCATGACTTTATATGCTTTGCACATACACTCACTGAGTAAATATTCATGGAGTGCCTTGTATATGCAGTCACCATGCAGGACTGAACAAGACAGACCTTGTCCCTGTCCTACCGAAGCTTAAAAATATGAAACAAACACATAAATATTGAATTACAAATTGTGATGTATTTTGAAGGAAAGAAAGGAGCACAGTGCCATGAGTATTAATTGGGGAACTGCTTTACGCCTTTGGGATGTGTCCTGCTCTTCACACTTCAGGGTCTTTGTTCACACTTTTCATGCTGAAGTACTTTGTTTGGATAGTGTATTCTATTGAAATCCGAATATTATACTGAAAAGCTTAAACGTTACCTTCTCTAGAATGTTTTGCCAGGCCCCCCATTTAGTCTGTCCTCTCCTGTGACATTGCTTGTAAGTCTTTTATGAAACCAAATTCATTCTGCCAAGTGCATACCTATTGTACAGTGATCAATTGTCCCATTTTTTCTGGACCAAAGATTTCTTGGGATGAGTTGGCCACCCTGTTGATAAGTCTGTCCTCTCCATTATATCCAACAGTCCAGGAGGGAAGGGAAGCTTTTTTAAAAAATATATATCTCTATTCACACAAGGACTTGCACATAGAAATAGTGATAATATTAAAAACAATAATTCATATTTGAGTATTATCTACATTCCAGGCCTGTGCTTAATGCCATACAACAACCAAATAAATGAAGTAGGTCATTTCTCCTTTCTATAAAAAAAAAAATTGAGCCCTAGACAGTTTGGCTCAGTGGATAGAGTGTTGGCCTGTGGACTGAAGGGTCCCAGGTTCAATTGCAGTCAAGGGCACATGCCTAGGTTGCGGGCTCAATCCCTGGTGGGGGACATGCAGGAGGTAGCCAATCAATGATTCTCTCTCATCATTGATGTTTCTCTCTCTCCCTCTCTGAAATCAATTATATATGTATATGTGTATATATATGTATATGTATGTATATATATACATATATGTATATATATGTGTATATATATACATATATACATATATATACATACATATACATATATACATATATATATATATATATATATATATATAAATTGAATCTAAGACAGTTAAGCTAGGATTTGAGAGGGTAGAATAAAAGAAGAAAACCTAATCCCCACTCATGCTTATCACTGCAGTTCTCAAACTTTTTGATCTCTAGATTCTTTTACACTCTTTTTTTTAAAATACATTTTATTGATTTTTTTTTTTTTTTACAGAGAAGAAGGGAGAGGGATAGAGAGTTAGAAACATCAATGAGAGAGAAACATTGATCAGCCGCCTCCTGTACACTCCTCACCGGGGATGTGCCCGCAACCAAGGCACATGCCCTTGACCGGAACTGAACCCGGGACCCTTGAGTCTGCAGGCTGACGCTCTATCCACCGAGCCAAACCAGCCAGGGCTCTTATACATTCTTAAGAATTATTAAAGATCTCACCCCCATGCCCACCAAACTTTTATATGGGCTATCTACTGATAGTAACTATTAGAAATGGAAACATAGAATTAAAAACATATCTGCTCATTATTTTACTTAAACATTAATGCACATTAACATTAATCATACATTTTATGTGAAAAATAACTATATTTTCCAAAACAAAAACATTTCAGTGGGAAAAGTGGCAAATATCTTTAATGTCTGACTCAATTAAAAAAACCACTGGAGGAGCATTTGAGATCTGCTCCCTGGCATATGTCATCTGTTTGGTTCAAATAAACTCTTATAAACGTTTAAAAACAACAACAACCCAAACCACTGGATTCTCTCAAATCTGCTTCTACCGTTTAGTCTGTTACAATATATATCACATAGCCTCTGGAAAACTCCACTGTACACTCGTGAGAGAAAGAAAGTGAAAAAGGCAAATAACCTCTTAGTATGAGTATCAAAATTGTTTTGGCTGCGGAAACCCCTGGGGTCCCTGAACACTTTGGCAGGTGCTACTGTACTGTATTAAACAATAACGACTTCATGGCAGACCTCAGGGGAAGAGGTAACCTTTGGTTTGCACGAACGTTGGGCTTTGATTTGTAGACATCCTAGGCTTTACCGGGGCACCAGCGAGAAGACAGGGAGGGCAGCATGTCCCTCACCTCGACCAAACCTTATTCTGTGAGCTCTACCCGGGTTACCCAAGAGTTTCCGACCTTGGACTACAACTCCCAACAGATCTTGCGGCAGGGGGCGTGTGTCAGCAGTCGCGAGGTGCTTGTGTGATTTCGGTCGAGTGACGGAAGTGGAGGGGGCGTGCCTGTTCCGGTAGGCGCAGTGCCTCAATTGGAGGAACCGGGAAGATGGGGCGGAGTCAATGCTTGGAATAGCCAATGGTTTGCAGTTTGGCAGAGGGGGGGCGTGGCGTGGCAGGACTCACTTGCGGGCTGCGTGGGGCTCCCCGAACCCGAGAAAGCGGATTTGGGGGCCGGGACGACCCGGGTGGGAGATGGCGGCACGATGGAGCAGCGAGAACGTGGTGGTGGAGTTCCGCGACTCCCAGGTGAGCCGGGGGCCAAATGGAGCCTTCTGGGCATGCGCTCTCCCGGTTCCCCTCCCCCACGCTGCCGGGTCCGTCTCGGGGTTGGCGGGGCGGCTCCTCCAGCCGCTGTTGTGGAGATGAGCTAGTTAGACGGTGACCGGGAGCTGTCAGTCCTGAGAGTGCGAGCGGGCGGTTAGGGCAGGCACGAACACGCTTTCGGGGTTACTCGGCGAGGGTACGGGGAGTGGGGTCTGCCTTGGGACGCCGAAGCGCAGAGATTGCGCACAAGCGAGTGACGAGGGGTGGCTCCCCAAGGCTAGGGTGGTGAACTAGGTGTTTGCTCCTCGAGGCTGGGGGCCTCGCTTAGTGACTTTGGGCAAGTCGCAGAACTCTGAGCTTCGGCAATGGAACTTAACCCACCTCAAAGGATTTTGGGGTGGAATTCATTTAAAAAAAAACCCGGCATGCAAAGTGCCTGTTTCAGTGCCTAAACTTTTAAATGGTTGCTGATGCTCGAATAGTGGAAAATCCCTTATAGTGAGTGAATAGGAGTGTGCGTTGCACGTATTGCCTGGGTTGAACCCAGCTCAGTCCCTAGCCTGTCATCACCCTCTGCGCACTATTCTCACCTGTGAGAAAGTGTGAATCGTATCTACCTAATAGGGTTGGCATGAGAATTTGGAGGTCATGCAGTTAGAATGTGTGGCACAGTGACAGGCACAAGGTAAGCCTCAAAGAATGTTAGCCCTTACTAGGGATTTTTACCATTTTTCTATTTCCTGTCTTCCATATGCTAGGCTGTGCTGTCATTAATTCATGAAAGAACCACACATGATGCGTAGATGTTATCCCCTTTTTCCAAATGGGGAAGCTGATCCTGGTTTGCCTGATCCTGTGACTTAACTAAGGCCTCCCATTATGTGGCCACATTGGGATTTGAACTCAGTCAGGTATCTGGCCCTGGAACTCTTGTTGGCCTCATTACACTACCCTGCATACTGTATGAGCATATCATACAGTTGTTCCGAAGTAAATATCATACCCACCCACCCCTTCCTTAGCACCAGGACTGTGTCTGGGTGATATTCACATACTAGGGGCCCAGTGCATAAATTCGTGCACCTTGAAAGGAACTGTGGGCCATAAGGCTGCGGTGAGGACAGGGGCAGGTCTCGGCCCATTCTTCACGCTCCTGCCTGGCCCCTTCCCGCCATGGCCCACAGTCCCCTGCCTGCTGGCAGCCCTGCTCCTGGCAGCCCTGCTCCCGCCACCACTGCTCCCACACGCTGATGGTGTGGAGCAGTTGGGGCCGGTGCCAGCAGTGGGTGTGAGCAGGGCCAACGCAGGCAGCAGGTGCTAGTGCCGGGTGGGACCGCAGCACACGGGAGAAAAGAATTTTCAGTAACCACCAGAGGCTCACCCTGATGACAGTGACTGGCACCCCGCCTTAGTCTGGCATCTCTGCTCACCTGCTCCACCATCCTGCCGCGGCCCACACCCGCCATGTTCCACGCGTGTCCCCTGGTGGTCAGTGCACATCATAGTGACCAGTTGTTTGTTCTGCTGTTTAGTCTATTTGCATATTAGGGTTTTATATATATAGATTTCTGGAATACCTTTTGTGTGCCGGGCTTTCAAGTCACTCATTTATTCAGCAAGGATTTATTGAGCTCTTGTGGCCAGGTGCACACTGTGCCTGGCACTGTGTTGATACTCAGGTGATTTATTCTGAAGGGAAAATGGATTATAACAAGGGGTGATATGGTTTCTTCTTTCTAAAACCCCATCCCATTTTTCCATAAAGGCAATTTCTGAAGGAGCCACCCACCAATTTGCTCTTTGGTGCTCTCGGATGCATTGTTCCCATGGAGAATTTGAGTAGCCGCATCCTGATGAAAGGATCCTGAACCACTTAGCACTGTCAGCGTGGTGTCTGCTCTCCCAAGGGAGGTGCCAGACTCGGAAGAAACCATATTCCTGTTATCCATATTGTTAATTGCTTTCACTGGGGACTAAGAGCAAAATCATGTATGGTACCTCTGAACCTGCTAATTTGGAAGCTGCTAACCTGTAAACCCTTTAATTCTCAGAGAAACCCAGGCAGTCTCACCCCTACTTCTCTATAGAAATGTAATTGAAGAGACCTACAGAGAGAGAGTGCTGACACATATATTAGGATGCTATGAAGTAGTATCAAATAATTAATCCGAAACAGCCACTGTCAAAGTAAGAAGACAAAGTAAATTGGGTAATTTAACTACCTTGTGGGAGTTTCTGTTCTTTCTGATTTTTCTATTCAGTTGGAAGGGTACATCTTAGCATGACTTAGCATGGTTTTGTGGTTGAATCTGGTGTTAATTAGGAGGGGTAGGAACCTATTTCATGAACTATTTCATCAATGTAGAAACAAAAAGTTGAAACTCTTAATATTGTCTTTCGGAAAAGAAAGCCCAAACAATAAACTTTTTAAAACCCCTCCTCTTTAAAAATTCATTAAAAAAATTAAAGCTGTTAGGTTTTTCAGTGAAAAACCCCAGCTGGAAAGGTGAAGCTCTTTAATAGCTTATGCAGGCATCATCCACTTTGTAAAACAGTGCCTTGAGATGTCACCAGTGAATAGTGAAGAACCTGTGCTACTTGGCAGCTACTCTGAAGTGGTCCCTGGAATCAATGAGTGTTAGCACTATAAGAAAATTCTGATATAATCTTCTAGGGCAACACCATCCAGTGATGATGGAAATGTAGCCATTGAACACCTGCAGTGAGGCTAGTGTAACTGAGATACTGTATTTTTAATTAAATTTTCATTAATTGCCATTTAAATAACCACTTGTGACTATTGGCATTGGTATTGGAAAGTGTAGTGGAGATTGGATAGTTTCCACTCTCAAAGAGAGGTAAGGTGGCGGAATGTTAACAGGTCTCTAACTCAATAGTAAAAATAAATTTAAAAAAATACTACAGGATATGATTTTTGTACGATGATAGGAACTTTGGACTCAAAGAACTCAACTCTCTGCTGAATGGCTCTCCTTCAGCACCTGTGAGATAGCTCAAACTCGGGATGTCCAAAGTCGTTGGACATACTCTGGGACTTCTCTCCTTGCACCCCAGCTTTCCCCCCCTCATCTAATACATCCTCCAAATAGCTAGAGTGACTTCTAAAAATCCAGGTTTATTAAGGTACAATTAATGTACAATAAAATTTACCTCCCATGTGTACAATTTGATGAGTTTTGACAAATCTATGTAGTCCTGTAGTTACTCTAATTAAAATATAGAACATTTTTATTACTCTAAAAAACTCCCTCATGCCCCTTTGTAGCCAGCCTCCTTTCCTTACTCCCATCCTCTGGTAGCTTGCTGATGTGACATCTGTAACAAATGGAACATACAGTGTGTTACCTTTTTTTAATCCTCATCCGAGGATATTTTTCCATTGATTTTTAGAGAGAGTGGAAGGGAGGGGGAAAGACAGAGAGAGAGAGAGAAACATCAATTGGTTGCCTCCCGCATGCACTCCAATCAGGGTCTGGGATGGAGCCTACAACCGAGGTACATGCCCTTGACTGGAATCGAACCCGGAACCCTTCAGTCCTGGGGTCACGCTCTATCCACTGAGCCAAACTGGCCAGGGCCAGTGTGTTACCTTTTGAGTATGGCTTCTTTCACTTAACCTAGTGCGTTTGAGATTTACTCATGTTTTGAACATATTATTTAGTCTCTTCCTTTTTATTGCCCAGTAGTATTCCAGTGTTCCAGTGTATAGATAGATCATAATCTGTGTTTTCCATTTTTTGGCAATTATGATTAAAGCTATGATAAATATCAAGGTGATTTTTGTTCTCTTTTTTTTTCCTTTAAGGTGATTTTTAAAAACCATATTTAATATAAATATATATATATATACACACACACACACACACACACACACACACACATAAATATATTTGTTGTTGTTGATGACTTTTAGAGAGAGAGGAAGGGAGGGAGGGGGAGAGGGAGACTGTTGGAGGCCCCATCTTTCTTTCATACCTTTAATCCATAAATTACACAGTAGAGTTCTGAAATGACATCTCATTTCACTGCCTGCCTTTCCAGTGGGGCTTTTTTCTGCTCATGACTCTAGTGGAATGAAGGATGCATAATAAACACTTTTAGCCTCCAGCGAGAGCACTCTGGCTTCTTGTCCCCAATATTACCTATGACATATTTCATGAGGGTGTTCGAGTGGGAGAAACCCATTAATGAGACCAGTGAGAGTGAGGAAGAGAATTTCTGGTGATTGGTGAGTGTAGCAGCAGCATGTGGACTCTCTCTTGATGGTTTCTAGAAGTAACTTAGAGCATTAAATTACTAAACAGTGGCACAAACTGATTCAGATAATGCCCTGAAAATGCAGCAGGAGTTGAACTTGTCCAAATAAGAGAATTTAGGGCTGTAGCTGCCATGATTAAAAACAGCCTCGCCGAAACCGGTTTGGCTCAGTGGATAGAGCGTCGGCCTGCGGACTGAAGGGTCCCAGGTTCGATACCGGTCAAGGGCATGTACCTGGGTTGCGGGCATATCCCCAGTGGGAGATGTGCAGGAGGCAGCTGATCGATGTTTCTCTCTCATCGATGTTTCTAACTTTCTATCTCTCTCCCTTCCTCTCTGTAAAAAATCAATAAAATATATTTAAAAAAAAAAAAAAAACAGCCTCATGCTTTAGCCTGAATGCAGCCATTTTTTAAAATGTTTTTATTGAGAGAGAAGAAGGGAGAGGGAGAGAGAGATAGGAACATCAATGAGAGAAACATCATTCATCTGCTTCCTTTATGCCCTCTACTAGGGATGAGCTCAAGACTCTGGCATGTGCCCTGGCTAGGAATCAGACAGGTGACCTCTTGGTGTATGGGACGACACTCAACCAACTGAGCCACACCGACCAGGCCTGAATGCAGCCACATGATTGGGTGTGGTCTCTTGGGAATTAGACATTGGATCCTGAAAAGATGATGCTTCCTAGGAATTGGGAGACCTGGGAAGGAGAAAGTAGTGAAAATGGTACTAGAAACCACAGGTTAAGTGGAAACTGGGTATCACAACAACAATATGACTGTGGATTCAGTAGGGCTGGTGTTTGACTATTACCATTGCCATTCAGCTTCGAGGATCTGTGCCCTTTGCAAAGGCATGGGTAGTGTGTGTGTGTGTGTGTGTTGATGATGATGATGATGTCCCAGGTCAGGTTTTGCTTGGAAGGGGCTCTGAGTAGCCTCTCTTTGCTCCAAGTTAGTCAGATTCTCCAAGGGTTCTAGGACTTCTGTCTCCTCAGTTTAGAATATGCCAGTATTGGTTGTGAGTAGTCCTGGTGTTGAAGGAACAGACAACAACTGCCCTATTGTGGAAAGTGAATGTGAGATTTGGATAAAAACTAGAAAGGGATAAAACCTGGGGAATGCCTTAGCCATGGGAAGAGGAAGAACCCACGGTGACTGACTACCTGCCTGTCTTCTCCAACCTGAGCTGCCTTTGCTAGCAGAACTAAGTCTGTTTTCTCTCTCACAGGCAACGGCAATGTCTGTGGACTGTCTCGGGCAGCATGCAGTGCTTTCTGGGTGAGTGAGCTTGCTGTTTGTCTGCCATGACTTCGGGGAACAGATAGAAAATTAAGAGGTTTCTGGGAAATTAGAAAATACTCTTGTATTTAAGGGTTACGATCATAGGGTTTAGTTCTGCTATGCTTTTGACCTCAGGGGGACTGGTAGGGATTATTTGCAGTTATTTTTGTCTCTGCTCTAACAGGTAAGCAATAAAATTCCTTTGAAATTTTAGTGACTGGTCTTGGAATTGCAGTTCTCTGTTTACTGCACGGACTCTTCAGAAGGATGCCAGCTGGTATAGTTTAACAGGTAGTTACTAGGATTGAGGGGGTCCTGGTTCTCATTTGGCAGTGCCATTGATTATGGCATTTTAGTTGCCTCCCTGGACTTGGTTTTCTTGTGGAGGAATTGGATTTCATCATGAATAAATTGAACTACCTTATTTCTATAGTGTCTTCTGGCGCAAAAAAATTTTTTTTTAAAATTTTTATTGATTTCAGAGAAGAAGGGAGAGGGAGGGAGAGAGAGATAGAAACATCAATGAGAAGAGAATCATTGATCTCCTGCACCCCTCACACTGGGGATTGAGCCCGCAACCCGGGCTAGTGCCTTTGACCGGAATCGAACCCGGGACCCTTCAGTTTGCAGGCCAGTGCTCTATCCACTGAGCCAAACCAGCTAGCCCAATTGTCTTCCATGAGCTAAACTTGACCTTTCTTTTTCCTCCAAAGCTAGAGTTAAACTTTTCCCAGGTAAGAGCTGCCTTTCTTATAGACATACTAGAGGCCTAATGCACAAAATCCGTGCAAGAGTAGGCCTTCCTTCCCCCGGCTGCCAGCACTGGTTTCCCTTTGGCACCCAGGACCTGGGCTTCCCTTGCAGCCCTGGCTTCGTCTGGAAGGTGGTCGGTCCAGAAGGAGGTCTGGAGGGAGGTCCGGTCTAATTAGCATACTATGCTTTTATTATTATATATAGATTCTTATTTTAATGGGTCTTTAAAGGGGAATGAAGATAAATGCGTATGTTTATCTTTTGTCCTGTATTTGCTCTGGAACGTCTCTGAACTCCCCTGTTGACAGGCACCTCATATGTTTAGCTCTTAGCCTTTTCCTGTTTTTTGTTCTAATAGTAAGATGCCAGCTGGCCAGAAGTTCTAGATCTTTGTTCTGCAGCAACTTTTTAGAAGTTTCGGAAGTTCTGTGAATTTGTGTCCTACCTATGCATTCCTTCTTTTCCCTTAACTATCCCTCTTAGGGTTTCTGCTAGTTTTCCATGCCATTTTAACTTTCCATTTCCTATCTTTTCTGAATAGGGACTATTAATCTTTTTCTTCATTTTTGAGCCCACCTATATTCATTGATATCCAGGGGCTTGGAATGCTAACAATGCATTGATAGCTGATGGCTGCTGAAATGTTAATTTACACAGCAAAAAAAGGAAAAATAAGTGAACACAGGACATCCCTGTTCTCATTTCATTTATATTAATTGGTACCTTGAACATTATTGACACTTAATATGTTATTTTCATCATTTGTTGTTGTTGTTATTTCCCCTCCTGTTAGATTTCATTTAGTTTCCCTTTCAGGTAGATGACTTGTAAGGGAAATTGAGATTTTTCTACAGGATATTTGGCTAAGTGATAAGTGATGTGTTTAATTTAACACACATTTGTTAAAGCGTGGTAAACACTGCGCTTTAGTGATTCTGGGCATATCAAGATATTCGAGACTTGGTCCATACTCCAAACACTTAGTTGGTTCAGGATGAGAGCCTTAACAGTAGTAGTTCTGCAACAGAGATAAAGGTTGCAGTCAAAATGCAAACCACATATTGGGAGTAATGTAGAAGCAGTGACTGTCCGCGCTGGGGCATTGGGAAAGGCTGGGAGAGGGGCAGGGTTGGAGCTGAGTGTGGTGGGAAGAGGTCAGACTTTCATGGACGTGGTGGGGAAGACGATCTCTAGAGGAAGACTCACAGGGATGCTCCTGCTTGTCTAACAGCCACCTTAGTTACTCCTGCACTTGCATGCCTTTCAGAGTAGATAAATGGCCAATATACCTGGTTTTTTTTGAGCACTGCTCGCAAATCATATGTAATTCTAAATGTGCTTTTCTGTCTTAATGCTAATGCTGTTATAGTGTCATCATGATATGTTGTTCTCCTAGCCGCCGGTTCCTATACATCGTTAATCTAGATGCCCCTTTCGAAGGTCACCGAAAGATCTCTCGCCAGAGCAAGTGGGACATTGGTGCTGTGCAGTGGAATCCTCATGACAGCTTTGCACACTACTTCGCAGCTTCGGTGAGTTTATTTAAGGACTATATGACATGTGTGGTCTGGGGCTGAAAGGGGTATGTCTTATGTAGGGAAGAGAATATAACCCTCATTTCTCAGGCGGAAAAGAGGTTTGGGTGGTTCTAAAAGGAAGATAGAGGTTATGTATATGAAAAGGTTTTATTGGTACCATAGGTGTCAGACTTTGTGTTTCTAAGGATTGAATCCAGATTTGCAAGGGAAACAGGTAGATGGCCTCCATTTCTTTGTGTGATCAGAACCTGTTTTCATTAGCAGGAATGTCACTAGCCAGTGACGCTGAAACCCATTTTGAGGGGGAAGTAGTGAGCTCAGCTGTGGTTGACCTTCAGTGCTTTCAGAGGGATCAGAAGATGCCATGTGCCCTTCACTCAAAGGAAGGAGTTCTTCCTTTTTTTTTCTTTTTTTAAAGTTGATTTCAGAAGAAGGGAGAGGGAGAGAAATAGGAACATCAATGCTGAGAGAGAATCATTGATCAGCTGCCTCTTTCACAACTCCTACCGGGGATTGAGCCTGCAACCGGACATGTGCCCTGACCAGGAATCGAACCGTGACCTCCTGGTTCATAGGTTGATGCTCAACCACTGAGCCACACCACTTGGGCTCACTTCTTTTTAGTATATATGTATCTAGGAGTGGAATGGCAGGGTCATGTGGTAAGTCTGTGTTTAACTTTTTGAGGGACTATGAAACTGTTTTCTACAGTGGCTGAACTGTTCTACAGTCCCACCAGCAATGCATAATGGTTCCATTTTATCCACATTGTCACCAAAAGTAGTTACTTCCTGTTGTATTTAAATTAAAAAAAAATTATAGCCATTCTAGTTAGTGTACTAGGTAAAGTGGTACCTCACTGTGGGTTTGATTTGCATTTCCCTAATGACTAATGATGTTGAGCATCTTTTCATGGGCCTGTTGTCCATTTGTATATCTTTTTTTGGAGAAATGTTTATTCAAGTTTTTTGCCCATTTTTGCATTGGGTTGTTTGTCTTTTTGCTTTTGAATTGTAATAGTTCTTTTTAAAAAATATTTTTCTTGATTTTGAGAGAGAGAGGAAGGGAGAGGGAGAGAAAAAAAGAAACATTGATTGGCTGCCTCCTGCACGCCCCCTACCGAGATCAAGCCCGCAACCCAGGCATGTGTGCTGTCCAGGAATCGAACTGGCGACCTTTTGGTGCATGGGATGATACTCAATTAAGCCACACTGGCCAGGGCTGTAATAATTCTTTATATACTTTTGACTCTAGACCCTCATCAGATATATGATTTGCAAATATTTACTATACTTCCGCAGATTCTTTTCACTTTCTTTTGAAAAAAAATTTTATTGATTGATTCTAGAGAGAGATAGTGAGAGAGAGACATTGATTGTTGTTCCACTTATTTATGCATTTATTGGTTGACTGCCATATGTGCCCCAACTGGGGATCGAACCTGCAATCCTGGCACATTGGGACAAGCTCCAACCAACTGAGCTACCTGGCCAGGGCCTTTTCATTTTCTTGATAATGTCCTTTGATACCTAAAAGTTTTAATGAAATTCAGTTTATTGATTTTTTTTTTTTTTTGAGCATCAGTTGATTAAGCCTCAGTTGCCTCATCTATATATGAGACATGGGTGATGACATCCAGTGTATAGTGTGGTGAGAAAGACCAGAGGACTCGTCTGTTAATGTTCCTAGTTCATTGAGCAGACCCTTTGAAAATGTCAGGGAATATTGTAAGATGAAGGGAATTTCTTTTCACTCTTAGTCCCATAGGAAGCTATTTTGAGAGCTTGTTTGGAGGTTCTAGCAGGGGAGCGCAGCTACTCGTATACCCTTGACCGAAGACCGGTCCTCTCCTTGGGGGGGAGGGGGGGCGGGGGGGGTCGTCCTCTTCGACGGAGCGCAAGGAAGCTATTTTGAATCCTAATCTTTTCACAGGAATCTTACCGATTTAGAATTGGAATCAGGCATTTCAGTATAAAAATCTTGAAATGTTATCCATCTGTATGACTCTGAACTAAAATGAAAATCAGTCATCTATATATTATTAAACAGCCTATTAGTAACCTTTTTCACTATCAGTGTGTTTCATAAACTCATGATAGTTTACGAGCCTTTGCCGGTTTGTTGTGTTTTTAAGTGAAATATAGTTTGATCAAAGCTTTTTTCTTCTTCTTTTTTCCTGTTGTAACTATTGTTTCTATTGGCCCATTTTTCTGTGTCGTTCTGTGTAAGTCTTTAAAAAATTTGAGCCGTAGCCACTTTGGCTCAGTGGATAGAGCGTTGGCCTGTGGACCAAAAGGGTCCCGGGTTTGATTCCGGTCAAGAGTATGTACCTTGGTTGCAAGTCCCTCCCCAGCCCAGGCCCTGGTCAGGGCTCCTATAGGAGGCAACCAATCGATGTGTTTCTCTCACATCGATGTTTCTCTCAGTCTTTCCCTCTCCTTTCCACTCTCTGTAAAAAAAAAAAAAAAAAAAGGAAAAAATATCCTCGGGTAAGGATTAAAAAATCCTATATAATAAAGAGCTAATATGCTAATTAGACCAAACAGCAGAACAACCATCTGGATGACCTTCTGGACGAAGCTGGGGCTGCGAAGGTCAACCCAGGCTGTGAGGGCCGGCCGAGGCTGTGAGGGGCTGCGAAGGCTAAGCCCCTTGCATGAATTTCATGCATCGGGCTTCTAGTATAATAATAATAAATAAATTTGATATAGGCCTGTTTTATGGAGTCTTGTGTAATTTTGCCTTCTCTGACACCCTTTTGATGTGTTTCTGTTCTTTTTCTTGTGCATCTGTGTTTTTAAAGCATGGTAGGTTGACTCTAGGCACTTGATAATGGGAAGAGTGAGCTAAAAAATATCTGGTGTGCCAGCAGTAGAGAGAAATGGGTGTGTGACCTTCAGAATAAGGAGGAGGTTCCTCTAGTGGTCTGGGGCCATCTCCAGTACTCTTAACTCACATGCTCAGTCTGTAGGATCTTTGCCATGCAAGTTGGTTTTGACATGGCTTCCCTTTCTTGGCCTTAAGCAGACTGGGGTGAGAGCATATATTCTGATGTCTTCTTTCCCTTTTTCTTTTCAGAGTAACCAACGGGTCGACCTCTATAAGTGGAAAGACGGCTGTGGGGAAGTTGGCACAACCTTACAGGGCCATACTCGTGTAATCAGGTAGGCACCAGCCCTCTGCCGCTCCCTAGGGAGTGAGATGAAAACACCCACCTCCTCCCACAGCTTGATTCTCTGTGTTGCGTTGGCCCTGGGTGGCTGTTAGATCGTTAGCTTGTACTGAGGTGATGACTTTCACAGTGGAAAACACTGGTGTTTAGGAACCAGCATTCATGTGGTATTAATCCTGATCCCAGAAAATACTTAGACAGGTTCAGAGGAAGGATTAGAGCTGACTTTAACACAGGAGGGGAAGTTATGCCATAATCCCTCAGGTCATAGTCGGCGGTGGCCAGGAATAGAGACATCCGGGAGCAGCCTGTGCCCTTTCTCCAGCAGATAGAGCTCCTGCCTCGCAGTCCATCGTCCAGACACGCAGTTCCCTTCCACTGATGGCCTTCCAGTGGCCTCTGGAGTGTCCCCTGAGCCACCCTTCCCTGGGTCCCTGTTTCTGGGTGGAGAAAGCTTGTTCTGGGAAGTAGCAGCAGGGAGTGCAGGGGTGGTGAAATGGACTTGGAAGTGATAGAAAAGGCTAGACCCCTGCCTCTGCTAACTGTTCACGTAGTAACTGCCTTTCTAGACGCGAGGGCACGAGTAGGGGGCCAGAGGCCTGCTGGTAACATGGCAGCTTGCCACTGCTAAGGGACGTTGGGTTTACTCACTGACCCTGTAATGGAGTCTGATTCAAAAATGAAAAGTCAAAAATTTTCCTTGTTTTATCTGTACAGTCTGTGCCTGCATGTGTGCGTGCGTGCGTGTGTGTTTTAAGTTGAAATACTCCATTTCTGTTCCGGAGCACGTGTAAGATAGCTGGAGATGACAGGGAAGGACCTGAATGTTTCTTTCCAAGCTCAGTTAAGTCTTGTTCATTCCCAAAGAACGTTGGAGATGCCCAGCCTAAACCGTGTTAAGAAGCCCATTAACAGTGACTTTCAAAACCACCAGAGACTAAATCTGCCACTGCTTTGGAACCAGATTCTGAATTTTCTCTCTCTTTATTGTTCTGTGTTCCCAGCGACTTGGACTGGGCAGTGTTTGAACCGGATCTCCTCGTTACCAGCTCTGTGGACACCTACATCTACATTTGGGATATCAAGTAAGAACAATGAAGAGGCATAGCCACGTGGTTGTGGCGTGATTTGGTAGCTTCATTTTAGAGATCAGGTATCTTAGTCTGGTGCCCCCTGGAAGGCAGACCCTGAGACAGGGCTACTTTGCAGATACATTATTTAGGAGTTGAAAGAAGTGCGGTAGGGGATGGAGAAGAGACAGGATGGGGAAGGCCACAAAGAGAGGGCGCACTATCCACCGTGTACCACTGCGAACCGGTGAGGCTCAGTCTTACCGGGGCTGCGAGGTGCTAGTGTAAAACTCCCTCCTCAGAGGCATCCCACCCCGAGGGCTAAGGAAGTGGGGGTGCTGTTCACTGTCAGTCACTGGTTGTCCCCAGGGGCCTTACTTCTCTGCACGCAGTCCTGTCACAGTGGTTTGCAAAATGGTCTTCGGCAGCTAGGGAGATTCTGTGGCATTTGGAAGTCAGGCTGAAGTTTACTGAAGTGGCAGGTGATGGCGGGGAATTTTGATGGGCACAGACACACAGCTGCTCCTGCAGGCAGTGCTACAGGACACATCTGCTCAGCTCTTTACTTGCTCTTTGGGAGGCTTCAGTTCCCCATCTGGGAGGGTAGCTGAGAGCCACCTGGTAGAGATACTCTTCATGGGGTAAGGAGCACCCGGCCCAGGCCTGACGCCTTGTAAGTTCTTTTTTTAAATATATATTTTTCAATTACTTTTCTTTGAGGAATAGTGTGTGTGTGAGAGAGGAGGAGGAGGAGGAGGAGGAAGAGAAGGAGGAGAAGGAGGAGGAGGAGAGAGAGAGAAACATTGATGGGTTGCCTTCCACATATGCCCTGACTGTGGATCAAACCCTCAACCTGGGTATGTCCTGACTGGGGATTGAACCCTCAACCTGGGTATGCGCCCTGACTGGGATTCAAACCCCCCACCCCTTTGTGTACAGGCTGATGCTCCAACCAACTGAGCCACACTGGCCAGAGCACTTTGTAAGTTTTTTTTTTTTTTTTTTTTAAAGTTTATTGTTGAAAATATTACAGATGTCCTCTTCCCCCACCCATCCCATTGACCCCCTCCACCCTGGATCCGTGCCCATCCCCCACAAGGCCTACCACATTATTGTGTAAGTTCTTAATAAATGTCACTTCCCCTCTCCCTTTGTAAAGTGAAGTTCTCTTTACCATAACAGAGGTGACTAACTAGTGGGTATAGCCTGTAGAGTCCCGGAGATGGTCCACTTTTTGCCCTCCCCGGGCTGCTCTGCTCCCAAATGGCAGTGGCTTTGTGATATTTTACATTGAAAGGCGGACTGTACAATGCAGTGTGCAGATGATGTTTTTCAGAGTTGTACACTTGAAACCTATATGGTTTTGTGAACCAATGTCACCCCCATAAATTCAATTTAAAAAAAGAGAGCTTCAATCACCTTGAAGTGCTAACCTGCAGGGAATGCCGGTGACGTCAGCCGTACACACCCTTGTTCCCTAAGAATCCCTTTCACTGGTCCATCAGACCTGTCATATCACAGTACCTGGCCTGTCTTCTACCTTTTGTGATTGACTTATTTCACTTAGTGTAATGTCCTCAAGGTTCATCTATGTTGCAGCATGTGACAGACTCTCCTTCCTTTTTAAGGCCTAATACTATCCCACTGTATGTAAATATCACATTTATCCACTAATCAGTCGATGGACACTTGGGTGCTTCCACCTCTTGGCTGTCGTGAACACCCAGAGTAGTTTTTTACTTTACCTTTGAAATGCTTTGGTAAGGTTCTTGCAGAGTTACCCCTCCATGACTGTCCCCTTGTTCCATTAGGAGAAATGACACCAGGAAGGTATTCTTTTGGCTTTTTCTGCTCCTACATTGGGGTCACCCAGGCCATGCTGTGCTCTTTTTTGTGTGTGTGTTTTGTTGTTGTTGTTAATCCTCACTGGAGGATATTTTCCCATTGATTTTTAGAGGGAGTGGAAGGGAGGGGGAGAGACAGAGAGAAACATCAGGGTGAGAGAGACACATTGATTGGTTGCCTCCCCCATGTGCCCTGACCAGGGCCAGGGATCAAGCCTGCAACCAAGGTATGTGCCCTTGACTGAAATCGATCCCAGGACCCTTCATCCGAAGGCTGACGCTCTAGCCACTGAGCCAAACCAGCTAGGGCTCTTTATGTTCTTTTTAAGGCTCTCACATTCCCACTGATCTCCAAGTACCTACTGAAAGGAAAGTGAAGAAATATGTGCAGAGGGTGAAAAGCACCAGGTGGGTGGTGGCATATGAATTGGGCATTTGATTTCTGACTTTTATATTTCAGAGACACAAGGAAGCCTACCATTGCACTGTCTGCTGTAGGTGAGTGTATATTCCTTCTGTTTGTCTTTATTCTATTCCTTCCATTCTTTCTCTCACACTGACTGTCCACACTCCATGTTTTGTTGTGGCTAGGTGGAATTTTAAGGCCCATATTGCAAAGGACTTGCTTCAGGTTGCTCTTAGAAGTTAGTCAGGACTATTGAGTTGTAGTCAGCAACTTATTTCAGAATGCAAGGACAGGAACCAAATTGATTTGTTTTTAAACTTTTTATTGCGGAGAATTTTAAATGTGTATAAAAATAGCATAAAGTGAAGTACTTTGTGTTCATCATCCAGCATCCACAATTGTCAACATACTGCCAGTCTTATTTCATCTTTACCTCTACTCACTGTCCCACCGCCCACCCTATCCTCTTTGGGATTATTTTGAAGCAAATCCCAGGTATTCTTTCATTTCATCAACAAATATTTCATTAAGTATATTTTACAAGAAAAGAATCCTTTAAAAGACATAATTATATACTGTCAACATACCTAAAAATATTAACAATAGCTTTTTATTATCATCATACACTTGAGTAGTATTCAAATTTCCCGAGCAGGCTGTCTGTCTCTCTTTCTACTTTTTTTTTTTTTACAATTATTTGAATTGGAATCCAAGTAAAGTCCATACTTGCAAATGGTTGATATACTTCTCATCTTTATTAATTGGTAGGGTTCTTCTCCTTTTCCTTTTTTGGTTTGTATTTCTTTTTCTGCAGTTTGTTTATTGAAGAAACCAGGTTGTTTGTCCTGTGGTTTCCCCACATTCTAGATGATGCTGATTGTGTCCCCATGGTTTCATTTAATATGGAGGCACTGCGTCTTTGAAATCTGATCTACCTGTTTTCATTGCTCAGTTGGAATGAACTATTGTTGAGATTCTGCACTGGGCTCTTGTGGAGGGTTCGCACCAGTTCCTGAGAGTCAAACTTGGGTGTAGAACTGGTAAACCTTACTCACAGGGATGAAGCCTAGTCATCAGGATTATCTTTTGGCACCAAGGTCCTACCACGAGGAGATGGAGCGGGCTCTTCTTACTCATTCTCTAGCTGATACGCTTTCTTACAAAAAAACCGGGTCTTCACCACTTATTCTTAGGTGACTTAAGATGCCCCGTGTCTCAAGAAAAAAAACAAAAACAAAAAATACCCTCACCAAAACTAAGCAAGGATAACTCTGGGCCTTATCTCTATTTCCTGTTAGATTCTAAGTCCTTGCTTTTCTCCAGACTTCTTGCTCTTCAAAGCCCTGGATCTACTATGGTATCCCCAATAATAAACACCCACCCAAAGGGAGAGATGTCAAAGCAGAAATATCATGTGTTATCTAAGCAAGAACAAAAAGAGGTGGGAAGGAGGGCCATTGTTTGGTTCTGGTTTAACTTAACTTGATTATTATTATTTTTATTTTATTTTATTTTTTTAAATATATTTTATTGATTTTTTACAGAGAGGAAGGGAGAGAGATAGAGAGTTAGAAACATCGATGAGAGAGAAACATCGATCAGCCGCCTCCTGCACATCTCCCACTGGGGATGTGCCCGCAACCCAGGTACATGCCCTTGACCGGAATTGAACCTGGGACCTTTCAGTCCGCAGGTCGACGCTCTATCCACTGAGCCAAACCGGTTTCGGCATAACTTGATTATTTTTAAGAGTCAGCTATCATTGCTGCTGTGCCCCAGTTTTTCCCATTTCTCAACCTCTTCTGCCGTCTTACAGTGTGCCGCCTCTCTTAAGTAGTAGGTCTTTTGTGGTTGTTCTTTGTGTTTGCAGAGTGGGGAAGGCCTGAGTCCACACAGTGCCTGGGTGTTCCCTTTCCCTGACTCAATGCAGGGCCAGTGGCCGTGTCTAACCACTGATGGGGTGGTGGAGGGGGGTGCACACAACCCTCTGAGGGCAGAATTGGGCAACACTAGAGCTTATTTTTCATCCGAGCTTTGTTCTGCCAACACTGTCCCTCCAAAAAAGAAAGAAAGAAAGAAAGAAAGAAAGAAGGAAGGAAGGAAGGAAGGAAGGAAGGAAGGAAGGAAAGAAAGAAAGAAGGAAAGAAAACAGGGAAGAAAGAAGGAAAGAAAACAGGGAAGGAGCAGGCATTGAGGTTGGGAGTGCAATCCTGGTCATTGAGGTGATGAAGAGCCAGGTTGTGTGATGAGTCAGTTACCAACCAGCAGAGCCATGTTCAGTGTCTGCTCTCTAAGAAACTGCTCAGAGCAGTAACCTGTAGATGCTGCTGATGTTGCTCAGAGGTAACCTGTAGATTTTTTTCCCCCGAGTGAAGTTATCAGGTGACTCCGATCCTGTTCCCATGTGTTATTTAATTCATTTATTTTTTGGCTTTATTTTCTCTTTATGGTGGAGTTGGTGCATGTATAGAAACTTGAAGGATTCTGTGTTTATTTTACCCAGAGCTCATTATCCAGCTCCCCTGGGTATGCTGTCCTCTGATTCCAAAGGTGTTGAGGTCAGCAGCTTTCTACCCTGATTTTTCTTTTTTTTTTTTTTTTTTTTTTTTTTTTTTTTTTAAATATATTTTATTGATTTTTTACAGAGAGGAAGGGAGAGAGATAGAGAGTTAGAAACATCAATGAGAGAGAAACATTGATCAGCTGCTTCCTGCACATCCCCCACTGAGGAAGTGCCTGCAACGCAGGTATATGCCCTTGACCGGAATCGAACCTGGGACCTTTCAGTCCGCAGGCCGACGCTCTATCCGCTGAGCCAAACCGGCTTTGGCTACCCTGATTTTTCTTTGCAGCGGGTGCCTCACAGGTCAAATGGAATAAGAAAAATGCTAATTGCCTTGCCACCAGCCACGATGGGGATGTACGGATATGGGACAAGCGGGTGAGTAATCTCTCTTTTTCCCCAGTTGTCCTTTAATCCCTCCCAGAGGGTAGGACGAGGATGTTGTGAGTAGCAAGGCTCGTCTGAGAGTCTAGCGTGCCTGTGCAGTGTGGTAAATTGCCATTTTCAGACCACAGTACCAGATGATCTTTTGCTTCCTGATCAAACTGGCGTTGAAGGAAGGTAGGGAAGTGAGGCATATGATCAGTGGTTAAGACAATGAACTTGGTTTCTAAAGTTAGAGTCCCATTTTGCTGTCTCCTAAGTATGATATCAGATGAGTCACTGAACGTCTCCAAGCCTCCATTTCCTTATCTTTAAAGTAAAGTTGATAATAATAGTGAGTGTATCATTGAGGAGGTCAATCCTGGGAGACCCAACACTATTCTAGGATGGTCAACTGCCCCAGATTGTAAAGCAAAAACTGTTTGTTCTGGGACATACACCATCCTGGATATCTCCGGTGTAAATGACTGAGATGCGGGGTACTCAGTTACACAAATCTTCCCGTAGGCTTAGCTATCTCATCAGCCCCAAAAGAGCCTACAGACCATATATTCTCCCTTCAACAGCTCCTGTAACTGACAAGCAGGAAGCGGTGTGGGGTCCTTGACTGCTGTTGTAATGGAAAGTATGTAGGACGTTTGGTATGTTGACATGAGGGACAGTAATGATGCAGGGAGAGGGCCTCCCCGGTACCTAACTGCCAGAGGATTGGGCAATAACGCTCCTGTAAGATCTGGGGTCTAAACAGCACTTCCTGCTCTGTGAAGCCCGAGGCTGGAGATCCTCAGCCTTTGGGGGAGCACCTACTTTGAGTTTTCCTGAAACTTGTTCAGGGTCTGTCCCAACTCTGGTGTTGCCTGGAAAGTCTCAGTTTTGCTTCTGGCTGCCCTGCTCCCTTCCCTCTTAGCAGGAAGTAAGGCCTTATAGTTGCATAGCGGAGAGGGAATGAAGCAGAGATTGGGGGTCTGCTGGATTGGCTGCCAGGACTGCGGGGGAAGTCATGTGCTGGCTGAAGCTTTCAGCCTTAGTAGCTCTTAGGGGAGAAGGAGATTTTATAAATAGAGGCTGGACAGGTGTATCTTCCGTATGTTTTTGTCTCTGTCCCTTTAGTCCAGTCTGGTAGTAGTCATTCTTCCACCCTCTTTATTTCTTAAAGTGGTGACTGGGTTTATTCTTTTTGTCACTAGCATAGCATTTACATATAGTGAATAGTTTAAATGAAATGTGTGGTTAAGTTAATTGTAGTGAATCCCTATTTGCTATAGAATGCTTTCAGAGTCATAGGCAAAAGAAACACTTTGGTATTTAGCCAGGATCTCTGCCAAAACAGTACCTGTGTTCCTTATTTTTTTTTTTTTAAATAAAGAATTGTAAGTTTATTAGGTCATCTGGAAAACCAGATGGGCTGAGTCCCAAATGGCACCAGCCTGTGTGCCTTATCTTGAAGTACATACAGCCAAACTGTTCCTTCCTAGTCTTTTGATTGGTCCACTAATAACCCTGACTTCCCCCAGCAAGCCTTTTATCTATTTGGTTTAAGGGGTTTTAACTTTATTTTTGGCTATTAATAACTTAAGACTTCTGCTGAGATGGATTGTAAAGCTGGTTGGTTTTATTTCTCTGGCACTTCTAGTGTCAGAGCAGCACTGATGGCAGCCAGCCTCAGAGGCTTAAAAAAGTGCAGTATCAGTGGTGAGGTTGGAGTGTATTATCAGTGTGACGGATAATACTTATGTTTACTAAGCATTTCTGATGCACAGGCATTGTTCTAAGAACTTTATGTGTAGCCGGAGCCGGTTTGGCTCGGTGGATGGAGCGTCGGCCTGTGGACTGGGGGTCCCAGGTTCGATTCCGGTAGGGGGCATGCGCCTTGGTTGTGGGCGCATCCCCAGTCGGGGATGTGCAGGAGGCAGCTGATTGGCTGATTGATGTTTCTCTCTCATCGATGTTTCTGGCTCTCTATCTCTCTCCCTTCCTCTCTGTGGGGAGTCAGTGGAATATATTTTTTTTAAAAAAAGAACTTTATGTGTATTGGTTTATTTCTCTTTATAACTAGTCTTTAAAGTCGGTACTATTGTGATCCCTGTTCTGCAGATGAGTAAACGTAGGCACAGTTTGTTCTAGGATTTTAACCCAGGGAGGCTAGTTCTGGAGACTGCCCTAATACATGCTCTTTAGAGCAAGTATAAAAAGAAAATAATCATTCATAGTCCTATTACCCAGAGACAAATGCTAACATTTTGATATTTTATTTCCTTCTTAATTTTTCATGGTTTATCATATCATATATGTAGTTATATATACTTTTTTCACTTAACATTACATTTTCCTCATGTTATAATCTCTAAGTATAATTATTTTAGAAATATTTATTTATTAAATTTTGTTGTTAATCCTCACCCAAGGATATTTTTCTATTGATTTTTAGAGATAGTGGAAGGGAGTAGGAGAGACAGAAACATTGATGTGAGAGAGACACATCGATTGGTTGCCTCCCGTTTGTGCCTGGACTGGGAATTAAACCCACAACCTAGGTATGTGCCCTGACCAGAAATTGAACCCCCAACCTTTTGGTGTACAGGATGCTGCTGCAAGAAACTGAGTCCCCCAGCCAGCACTCTAAGTATAACTTAAAAAAAAATGTTTTTATTGCTTTCGGAGAGAGGGAGGGAGAGGGAGGGAGAGATAGAAACATCAGTGATGAGAGAGGATCATCAATTGGCTGCCTCCTGCATGCTCCCCACAAGGAATCGAACCCCCCAACCCAGGCATGTGCTTTGACCAGGAATCGAACCTCGACCTCCTGGTTCATAGGCCGACACCCAACCACTGAGCAACACCGGCCAGGCTCTAAGTATAACTTTTAATGGCTGCTTCATATTGTATCAGAAAGCTGTACTAGAATTGATTTAAAAATTTTAATCATTCCCCATTACTATTTGTATTGTTTCTGGTTTTCTGGTGTTCCATGAAATTCCAAGATGAACATCTTTTGTATCTAAAGCTTTCTGTGAATTTGGAATATTCCCTTGAGAAAGGAAAATTTTAAGTCTCTTGATAAAATCTGTCAAATCCGCCCCTCCCCCCCCAAAGGTTTTGGTATTTTATATATACAGCAGCAGTGATAAATGCAGACTCTGCATTGAGTATTATTTATAGGTATCTTTTAATTTGATAGCTTAAACATATTTTATGTATTATTTGAGGTTTCCTTTTGAGCTTGTTTATTTTTATATGCTTATTAATTGTGTAGTGTTTTCTTTTGTGATGTGTGTTCATTCTTTTTTGGGGTCTTGGTCACATATATATTGGAAGTTTTCAGGATTGACACTGGATCTGTTTGGACATCACAGCCCCTCTTCTTGGGTGATCCTGAGGAAGGGGAGCAAGAATTGCAGACCATAATACTAATGGGGAAAAGCCCCCACTATCTCGTATTCTTCATGAAAGCCTGTCAGGGGCTGGAGTGGAAAGAGATTAGGCTCCCAGAGCCATATACAGAGCATGGGTGAAGGAGAGCAGGATAAGTGTTGTTGTTGGTTGTAAACCAAACAAAGGGTTTCTTAAAGATAGAGACCGTATCTAGCATTTTTGTATCCCCGCTCATCACCCTGCAGACTATGTTGTAGACTCGAGTTTTTTCTAAATAGGCAATACAATGTGCTGGTCTTTTGCAGAAACCTAGTACGGCAGTGGAATATCTAGCAGCCCATCTGTCCAAAATCCACGGCCTGGACTGGCACCCAGACAGCGAGCACATTCTTGCTACCTCCAGTCAAGATAATTCTGTCAAGGTGAGTGGTACCCCAGTGGGGAAGTTGGGGAGCTGTGTTTGGGAGGCATCAGTTTGTGTTTGTGAGGCAACACTTTCTTCTGAAGGAAAGCTACAGTATGTTGGCGCAGTCTGTGTGTTTCAGGGGTGCATGTGCTTGTTGGGGAGCTGAGCAAGTAAACCTGGTTATGTAGACCAGTAGGAGTGATATAGTAGCATATCTATGTATATAAAAGCCCAGCGACCAGAATGGCGGAATGACCAAAATGACCGGTGGCTATGACACTCACTGGGGCAGCCAACCAGCCTGATTGATGCCCTCCCCCTCCTGGCCGGCTCCACTCCCAATTGGCCCCCAACGCCCCAATCGGAGGCAGGGCCAGCCAGCCAACTGCCCGCAGCCCCTCCCCCTGACTGGCCCTGGCCTCAGTCAGCCCCCAACACCCCAATTGGGGTGGGGCCAGCTGGCAACTGCCTGCGGCCCCTCCCCCCTGCCGGCCCGGCTTGATGAGCCCCCATTGGGGAGGGCTGGCCAGACCCCACCCATGCACCAATTCTAGCACCAGGCCTCTAGTATCTGATGACTCCTGGACTTTGTTCCTTTCCCCTTGTGAAAGGAAGTCAGAAACAAAAGCATTTAGAAAGGAAAAGAAGTTTACTGACAAAGAAGTTGCCAGGAAGTCAGATTTCAGAAGGACTGGCTCAGCAAAGAAAAAGCACAACAGACATATAAGGAAAGGAGAAGAGCCCACAGAATTGTTAAGGTTACCAAGTTTACCATTAGTCTATCTGGGGTGGAAAAACAGCAGAAGTCAGGAACAGAGTTGTTTTATTAGAGATTCTTTAGCTTACAAGAAATGCTCAAGGTTCATGTGTTTGGGTGACTCTATTATTTTTGGTTTATCTCAGAGTGTAGTGTTTCTTATTGTTTGTTTTTCTTCTCTGACTGTGGCATGTGATGTGTGTGCCCACTTATTCAAAAGGATGCAGGGCACGGAGTCAGCCTCGCTATACAGTTCCTCCTTGTGGTCAAGCCTCTGCCTGGAAGGTCAGAGATTTAACCACAAAAATTTGCTTAGCAATTTTGTGATTCAGCATCATTAATTTAATGCTTTGCTTTATTTTCATAGGCATGCTCGTCTTTTTGATATGTTTAGCAAAACTAAAACCATACATACACTAAGGCTTGAAAGTTAACTACTCTCTTGAGATTTGTAAAACCTCCAGGGTTGTACTTGACGTTTCTGTGCCAGAAGTGGTTTTCTTGTTTCTTTATTTTATTTTATTTTATTTTACCCACATGGGCTTCTTTTTTTTTTTTATTGCTTAAAGTATTACAAAGAGTATTACATATGTCTTCCCCCCCCCTCGCCCCCCCTTGACATTCCCCCGGCCTCCCCTACCCCCCAGTGGCTTGTGTCCATTGGTTATGCTTATATGCATGCATACAAGTCCTTCAGTTGATCTCTTACCTCCCCCCTCCCGCCCCCAAAACCTCACTGGCCTTCCTGCTGTAGTTTGACAGTCTGTTCGATGCTGCTCTGCCTCTGTATCTATTTTTGTTCATCAGTTTATGATAGTCTTTATTATCCATAAATGAGTGAGATCATGTGGTATTTTTCTTTCATTGACTGTCTTATTTCACTTAGCATAATGCTCTCCAGTTCCATCCATGCTGTTGCAAATGGTAAGAATTCCTTCTTTTCTACAGCAGCATAGTATTCCATTGTGTAGATGTACCACAGTTTTCTAATCCATTCATCTGCTGATGGGCACTTAGGTTGTTTCCAGATCTTCGCTATGGTAAATTGTGCTGCTATGAACATAGGGGTGCATATATCCTTTCTGATTAGTGTTTCTGTTTTCTTGGGATATATTCTTAGAAGTGGGATCACTGGGTCAAATGGGAGTTCCATTTTTAACTTTTTGAGGAAACGCCATACTGTCTTCCATAGAGGCTGCACCAGTCTGCATTCCCACCAGCAGTGCACGAGTGTTCCCTTTTCTCCGCATCCTCTCCAGCACTTGTCGTTTGTTGATTTGTTGATGATAGCCAGTCTGACAGGTGTGAGATGATGCCTCATTGTTGTTTTGATTTGCATCTCTCGGATGATTAGTGACTTTGAGCATGTTTTCATATGTCTCTTGGCTTTCTGAATGTCCTCTTTTGAAAGGTGTCTATTTAGGTCCTTTGCCCATTTTTTGATTGGATTGTTTATCTTCCTTTTGTTAAGTTGTATGAGTTCCCTATAAATTTTGGAGATTAGGCCCTTATCAGATATGATATTGGCAAATATGTTTTCCCACGCAGTGGGTTTTCTTGTTTTGTTGATGGTTTCTTTTGCTGTGCAGAAGCTTTTTATTTTGATGTAGTCCCATTTGTTTATTTTCTCTTTAGTTTCCAATGTCCTAGGAGCAGTATCAGTGAAGAAATTGCTTCGGCATATGTCTGAGATTTTGTTGCCTTTGGATTCCTCTAGTATTTTTATGGTTTCCCGTCTTACATTTAAGTCCTTTATCCATTTTTAGTTTATTTTTGTGTATGGTGTAAGTTGGTGGTCTAGTTTCATTTTTTTTGTTTCTTCGTTTTAGATTTGGATTTTTGTCCCCCATCCCCTCCCGATCAGCTTGTCTTCCAAGCTTAGGAACCAGAAACCAACCAATTCACCTCTGCCTTTATCTTTGAGGTCCCCAAGTTTGTCATTGTTCATTGACATTTTTACTACATATGAGGCTGGGATCCCATAGGCAATAAAGCAGGTAATAGGCAAGGCCCACGTGTGAAACACAGTCCTTGTTCCTTACCTATAGGTTTAGCTTATGAATCAAGTGAAGCTTTTGGCATGGTACTTACTTTTCCACTATATTCTGGTAAGAAGGAAGACAGTTATTACTGAATGTATGTAAATAACATAACTGTAAAAAGTAAAATAATTTAGAGGCACATTGTATAATATTCAACCATTATTCTTACTAATTTGTAGAAAGGATGAATATGTCATTTTCCCCCCTACACAATCATTTTCTTACATTTACCTGACAGTTTATTAACTTATAACTTGTGGTAATAATTTTCATTGTATTTTTAGTGTCTGAATTCTCTGGGATCAGCTGGAACAAGCATTGAATGAGTGTTTCAGTTCAGTTTGTAAATTGTTAACTGTAAAACGCTTGAATTAAGAAGATGGGAAATGATTTTTTTTAAAGGATTTTCTTATATAGCCATTAAAAATAGAACATTAACCACAATGAAACTGGTTTTTTCCTGATCTTGGTTTAAGCAGTCTATTTCAGAAAATTGCCTCAGACTGAGTCCTGGAAATCCAAGCACGGTCCTTTGGGTACATTCTGAGAGATGAGTGTCTGGCCACAGATCAAGGTCAGCCTTATTGAGAATCTGTACCCCTGAGGCTATTCGAGAACCTGGTTCTTTCCTTCTTGATTGAAACCTTTCTTATAGTTCTTCAGAAAACTTGCTTTCTGATCTGTAGCTTGTAGCTGGGGCCCTTTGGCAGTGGTAAGAGAAAAGCAGAAATCGCCTGTGGATGGGAGGACGGCATGGCTCTGATTAATGTATTATAATAACCACCTCTATCAGAGAAAAACATAGAGAAGACCTCTAGTCACATGTAACTCCATCACTGATTGCCTTGAGAATAAGAATTTGTTATGAACATGAGGACTTTGTCAGATCTCCAGGGTCCTCCCATTTATCCCGTCAGTGATATGTTATAATTGTCACCAACTGTTGAATATATTTAAACCTAGAAGCAAAATCATTTTTTTTAAAAAAAGGATTAATTTTGTTAATTGTCATACCAATCTTTGTTTCTAACCTGAAAAGTATACAACTGAAATGCATTCAGAGTAACAGTATTTTAGTTGTAGATAATTAACCCAGGGAGGTGGAACTTCTCTTTCACTTGCTAGCATGGTGGACTTGCTAGCATGAAATCATTGTATTGAGCTAATTAAAAATCTGGAGAATGCCAAGCCTATCTAATATTTCAAGTTTCCCTTCTTTTACAAGTTGATGGAGTAAGTTATAGTTTACCTTATGGCTATCTGGGAAACCCAAAAGCAGTTTAGATGGAAAAGACATCTTAACAGTTTTATAAGTTTGAACATGGGGCCTGGATTTGGCAAAAAAGAGTTGTCAGAAGAAACAAGAATTATTGCATGCTATGCCTTTATAGTTACACTCTCCCCAACCCCCAACTTCTGGCAACCATGGATCCGTTCTCCATCATTATAGTTTTGTGTTTTGCAAATGTCATTAAAATGGAATCATGTAGTATGTAACTTTTTGAGGCTGGCTTCTTTCATTCAGCATAACATCTTTAAGATTTGTCCAAGTTATTTGAAGAATCAATAGTTCTGTCCTGGCCTGTGTTTCTCAGTGGTTAGAGTGTTGGCCTGTGCATTTAAGGGTCATGGGTTTGATATCCTGTGAAGGGCACATATCTAGGTTCCAGGTTTGATCCCCAGCCCTGGTTGGGGCATGTGCAGGAGGCAACTAATCGATGTGTGTCTCTCTCACATCGATGTTTCTCTCCCTCTTTCCCTCCCTTCTACTCTCTCTAAAAATCAATGGAAAAAAATATAGTCAAGTAAGGATTAATTTAAAAAAAACCAATAGTTCTTATACTTTTACCTGTTGAGTAATAATCCATTGTATGGATAGACTACAATTTATTATCTGTTGACCCATTGGATAACATTTGGGCTGTTTCCAGTTTTGGGCCATTGTAAATAGAGCTGCTATAACCATGCATGTATAGATTTTTTTGTGTGTGAATATAAATTTTCAGTTTTCTAGGATAAATACATAGAAGTGGGATCACTGGGTCTTATGGTAGGTGTGCATTTAACTTTTAAAGAAACTGCAAAACTGTTTTCCAGAGTGGCTTCTGTCTGTTTTTGAAAATAATTTCTTAATACCCCAATAGTTCAGAGTTTCACTGTTGGTCCTCCTGCCATGGTGCTTTGCTATTTTCTGCTCTCATGACGAGTGCTGCACTCCCAAGTGTATTTGTCTCTCCATTGTAAGCACAGGTGTCATCTCTAAGGGAGAGTTTGTATCTGGCTCACTTTGTGTAACTGCAGCTTCAAGTCCCACACCTTCCACGTAGGTGTGGGCGAATGAGTGGGTTGTTGGGCACACAGATAGTTGCATAGCCACCTTTTTCCTGTGTGACCTTGGGCAAGTTCCATGGGTTAGTAATTTTAGCTTCTCCGTTTGCAAAAGAGATTGATAACACTCATTATATGGTTGTTGTAAAGATTTAATGGGATAAAAACTTAAAAGCTCTAAACATTTGTCTGAAATGCAATAAGTAGTCAGAACATTGCAGCTATTATTGTTAGTTAAATTACTCTACTTGTGAAAGTGATAGAGGTTGAAAACATGTCACTCTTACCTTTCAACTAGGAATGTTGTCTAACAGGCAGGCTGACAGTGATCTGCCCCAGTGTGGTCCTCGTGAAGTCCGAAAATTCTCTTGTAATGGTTATGAGTGTGAACAGGTTTTCTTTGTGTCTCTGCAACAGTAGCATGGCCGTGGGGCTGACTGAAATGCACTATTGAAATGTATCTTTAGAGCAGCAGTCGCCAGCCTTTCGGACCTCACGGACCACCAGTGGTCTGCAGACCACCGATTGGCGACCGCTGGTTTAGAGGACAAAACAATGAGTTCAAAGGCTGTTTGTATTTCAGTAGTTGAGTTTTTTAATGGCATTTATTTCACAAATTATCTTTCTTTCTTTCTTCCAGTTCTGGGATTACCGCCAGCCTCGGAAATACCTCAATATTCTCCCTTGCCAGGTGCCTGTCTGGAAGGCCAGATACACTGTGAGTGTGACACCTGTCTTGTGTTGGGAAACTTCCATCTTGGTGTTCCAGACTCTTTATGAGGCAGTTTTCTCTTTCTGTCTTGATTTAGGGGTGGGTCAAAGGTGGTCATGCTGGTATAAAAGATGTTATCCACTGAAAAATGTACCCTTGGGCCCTGGCCAGTGTGGCTCAGTTGGTTGGTACGCCATTCCATATACCAGAAAGTGGCAGGTTTGATTCCCAGTCAGGGCACATACCAGGTTATGGGTTCCATCCCCGGTCAGGGCGTACAGGAGGCAGTTGACCAGTGTTCCTCACTCACATTGATGTCTCTCTCTAACATTGATGTTTCTCTCTCCCTCTCTCTCTCCAATTAAAAATAATTTTTAAAAATTTAAAAATTTACCCTTGGAATTTTGGGTAAGAATCTGTACTAAAATTACTAACCAAAGTTAGACTGAGAAGCTAGGTAGTGGGAAGGTGGTCACTAGAAGCAGGGGAAGAGGGTCAGATGAAAGCAGAGGGTGGAGAGACTTGTGGTCAGTGGATTGTGATGGAAAGAACTCTGGCTTTAGATTCAGAAGACCTGGGTTTTGGGCCCAGCAATGCCACTTAATTCCCCCCCTCCATCTTTATTGAGCTACAATTGATATATAATATTGTGCAAGTTCAAGTTGCACAACATGTTAATTTGATACACTTATATGTTGCAAAACGATTATCACCATAGCATTAGCTAACACCTCCATCACATAATTACCATTTCTTTTTTGTGATGAGAACATGCAAGATTTACTCTCTTAGCAACTTTCAAGTATGTAATGCGGTGTTACTAACTTTAATCACTCTGTTGTACATTAGATCCCTAGAATGTAATCATTTTATAACCGGAAGTTTGTACCCTCTGACCAACTTTCCTCTTCTTCCCCTCTCCTCAGCCCTGTAATTGATATTTTACTTGGTGTTTCTATGAGTTCAGTCTTTTTAGATTCTACATATAAATGATGTCATACAGTATTTGTCTTTCTCTGACTTACTTTACTTAGCATAATGCCCTCAAGGTTCATCCACATTGTGGTAAATGGCAGCATTTCCTTCTTTTTCATGGCTGAGTAATATTCCATTGTGTGTGTGTGTACACGTGTGTGTGTGTGTGTGTGTGTGTGTGTGTGTGTCACATTTTTATCATTCACCATTGATAGACACTTCGGTTTCCATATTTTGGCTTGTGAATAATGCAGCAATGAGATATTTAATATTTGTGTGGCCTTTGGCAAGCCATTTGGTATTTTTGAGCAATAGTTATCTCCTTTGTAAAATATGAATAATAATTTTTGCAATGCCTTCCTTTTTTATTGTGATAAAATTCACCATTTTAAAATGTGCAATTCAGTGGCATTTAGTATATGCACAATATGCCTTCCTTTTGAAAAATCATATATGAAAATGTTTTATAAATCATAAAGTACCATGAATATAGGGAGTAGGCTATTATCAACATTCCAACAATTATTTCATTGCCACATTGGTAGCTGCTGATCAGAGGTAATGTATTTCTCTTAGTGTCACTTTGAAAAGGGAGGATAGGGATGGATAAAGGTACTTTTATACATTAGGCTGTTACCCTGGGGCATTGTGGAGCTTAGAGGATAATTGGGTATTAAGTGGCTTTTGCATTGTTAGCAGCAGATGTTGACAACAACAGATGTTGTTCTTTTTTCCCAATAGTTTATTGATTTTTTTAGAGAGAGAGGAAGGGAGAGGGAGAGAGGGATTGCCCTTGGCCAGGAATCGACTCGGCAACCTCCTCCTGGTGTGCAGGATGACAACCCAACTAACTAGGTCACACCAGTCAAGGCAGATGTTGTTCTTTTTTCTTTTCTTTTCTTTTCTTTTCTTTTCTTTTCTTTCTTTTCTTTCTTTTCTTTTCTTTTCTTTTCTTTCTTTTCTTTCCTTTCCCTTTCTTCCTTTCTTCCTTTCTTCCTTTCTTCCTTTCTTCCTTTCTTCCTTTCTTCCTTCCTTCCTCCCTTCCTTCCTCCCTCCCTCCCTCCCTCCCTCCCTCCCTCCCTCCCTCCCTTCCTTCCTTCCTTCCTTCCTTCCTTCCTTCCTTCCTTCCTTTCTTTCTTTTTTAATGTATCTTTATTGATTTCAGAGACAAGGGAGAGGAAGAGATAGATAGAAACATTAATGATGAGAGAGAATCATTGATTGGCTGCCTCCTGCATGCCCCCTACTGGGGATCAAACCCGCAACCCAGGCATGTGCCCTTGACCGGAATCAAACCTGGGACCCTTCAGTCCGCAGGTCGACACTCTATCCACTGAGCCAAACCAGCTAGGGCAGATGTTGTTCTTATGAATAGAAATACTTCTCTGGATTAATATGTTTGTTTTTTAAAAAAAACCAAACAGAGAAGTCTAGAAGTGCTGCCAGGAGGGGAGGTAGAGATAAATGTGCTCTAGGTAATGATGGTTTATTCCCTAAAGACCAGTGTCTAATCATCAAACAAATGGGCCCCTTAGCTGCCTAGCAGATTGGGTGTTGATAAGTAAAATCTGTCAGACCTCAAACTAACTGGGAGGTTTTTTTTGAATAGCTGTAGTACTTGGGGGCAGTGGGAAGGTTGTGGTTCACATGGATGGTATGCCCGTGGTGCATTTCCTCGAGACAGGAATTGTGCTTGCTGCTCTGGCCTTTTCCCCAGCGTGCCTTGCATGCTCACTCTGGGAAAGTGCTCAGTAACTCATGAAGGAGCTCAGGGAGAGTAGGTAGGATACGAAACAGTGTGTTCCTGTGTGCAACAGTCAGAGCCATATTTTAGAATATTTTCAAAGTTCTTCAAGTATTTGGCTTAGCTTTATTTTATTTTATTAAATATATTTTTATTGATTTCAGAGAGGAAGGGAGAGGGAGAGAGAGATAGAAACATCAATGACGAGAAAGAATCATTGATCGGCTGCCTTCTACACGCCCCCTACTGGGGGTTGAGCCCGCAACCTGGGTATGTGCCCTTGACTAGAATCAAACCTGGCACCCTTCAGTCCACAGGCCGACTCTCTATCCACTGAGCCAAACCAGCTAGGGCGAGGCTTAGCTTTATTTATTTATTTTTTTTACTTGCTCTGGTTCCTTCCAGAAGCAAAGATAAGTAGATGTGATGGTCAACTTATGATATTTGGAAAAATTTTCCCTAGATGGGTTGGGACCTTCCATCATCCAATTTATTTTAGGAAACAATTGCTACTTTGTTACTGAAGACTCAGCTGATTCTCCCTGGAATCATCACCTGCTTTTCCCTTTCTTGCCCTAGCCTTTCAGCAATGGATTAGTCACTGTGATGGTCCCCCAGCTGCGGAGGGAGAATAGTCTCCTCTTGTGGAATGTCTTTGACTTGAACACCCCTGTCCATACCTTTGTGGGGCACGATGACGTGGTGCTGGAGTTCCAGTGGAGGAAGCAGAAGGAAGGTGAGTGGGAGAGAAGACGGCCGCCTGATTTCCTTCTGAGCCCTGTTCCACAGCAGCTCAGTCAGGGTTGGCTGTATGATCCAATGAGGAGGATGCAGAAGCAGGGCTGGCTTTAGGAATCGGTCAGGGTCCACCACCTTCAATTGTAGATAGGCAAAGGGGTGTGCGGCCTGTGATTCTTCTCCTAAGTTCCCTCCTCTTCTCTTCTGTTGCGTGGAGTCTCTCTCCTGTGTGGGAAAGATCTATAAGAAATGGATAGACTTGCTGTGGGATCATTTCTAGGGCTGAAAACTCTGGGGTCACTACCTTCAGAAGCCTCTGGCAGTTGCCCCTTGCTACTCTGCTGACGAGGGAGACCCGAGGTCATCACTGCCCCTCACAAATTCCTAGTCTCATCACAAACACATAGTGGTATTTTACTGCTCGTCCCCTTGAAGATAAGTTTGGTCAAATGACATGCTTTGAACATGAAACATGAAACATGGTGTGGTCTCTTTTGGGTTGAAGTATTAACAGCCAGTGTGCAAATTACACACTCTCATTGCTTCTGCCACAAAGCTGGCAAGACTTCGGATGGAGCCGCTCCCATCAGAAATGAGGAGGAGGTAGAGATAGAGAGTAAGCATAAAATCCTTCCTTTAAGCTACTGAGATTTGGGGTTGTTTGTGATTGCACCTTAATTAGTCAGCCCTCACTAATGCCTGGTCATAATTACAGTGGGAGTCAGGCAGCCCTTGGCCTCAGTTCCTCCATCAACTCACCATGCAAATTTAGTTGCAGCCTCTCTCTCTCTCTTTTTTTTAAATATATATTTTTATTAATTTAGAGAGGAAGGGAGAGGGAGAGAGAGAAAGAAACATCAGTGATGAGAGAGAATCACTGGCATGTGCCCTTGACTGGAATAGAACCTGGGACCCTTCAGTCCGCAGGCTGTCACTCTCTCCACTGAGCCAAACTGGCCAGGGCGCAGCCTCTTTTCTTGAGATCTTCCTGCCATGCTCTCTAAATATTGTACAGAATAGAAGTATATTTCTTGGTTTTTCCATATCACAGAAGGAAAGCCAGGTAGTGCAGTGGTGTGACTTGTCCAGAGCCCAGAAAAGGGCTCTGGTAGACCTGGGGTTAGAGCAGGCAACTTCTTACCCCAGCTTATTTGTGACTCTTCCAGGATGGTTTTTGAAAGGATTCTCTTAACCATCCTCTTAATTTTCCCATATTTATTTCTGTAATCTCTCTTGCTTCTAGAAACATGAGGCTGCATGACTTTGGCTTTCAACGTATTCTCTTGCATTTTGCCATAGTGAACAGATAATGTGGTTTCCCCACTGTCTGGCCGAGAGAGGTTGGGCCTGTAATTTTGGATTGAAATAAAGTTATCTATGTCTATATGCCAGAAGGGTGAATTGTATAAATTGGGACTGTCTAGTAGTGAAGAAGTTTTTTAAACATTTATTTTTATTTTATTATTTTTGTTAATCCTCACTGGAGGTTATTTTTCCATTGATTTTTAAGGAGAATGGAAGAGAGAGGGAAAGACAGAGATAAATATCGATGTGAGAGAAACACATCAATTGGTTGTCTCCTGCATGAGCTCTGACAAGGGCCTGGGCCAGGGAGAAGCCTACAACCAAGGTACGTGCCCTTGACCGTAATCGAACCTGGGACCCTTTGGCCCACAGGCTGACACTCTATCCACTGAGCCAAACCAGCTAGGGCCAGTAGTGAAATTTTGAATGTAAGTTATAGGGTGTTTTTTTTATTATTATTATTCATTTTTATTGTGAAATATATCACCCATCCATAAAATTGCATAAAACACATACAGTTTAAAAAAATAAAGTGAAAATCTATGTAACTATAACCAAGGTCAAGAAAAGAACATTGTTAGAACCCCAAAAGCTTTCTGATCACAATACTCTCTCTTCTCCCAGAGGTAAACACTATCCTAATGCTTATGATAGTGATTTCTGGTTTTATCTTTTTAGTTTACCACCTATTTTTTTCATTTCTCAAAATAGTTTAGGTTTGCTTGTTGTTGAAACTTTTGTGAATATAATCATCCTTTATGTATTCTTGTATTTTACTTTTTATTTTTATGGCCATGTTTTAGTTTTTGTTGTTTTTAAGAATGGTATATTGATTTCTAGAGAGAGGAAGGGAGAGAGAGAGAAACATCAATTTGAGAGCATAACATCTATCGGCTGCCCTAACTGGGGAATTGAACCGGCAACCTTTCAGTGCAATGGATGACGCCCAACCTACTGAATCACACTGGCCAGGGGTGTCTTGTTAGATTTAAACAGGGATATATAGAAACGTTGTTTGAAGGCAATGACAGAGAAGGAATTTTTGTCCCTCACTCACCCAATTAACTTGGATAGCTTGTGTTCTTTGTTTCCTCAGTTTCCCCATCTGTAAAATGAGGGAATTGGTGAAATTACTTCTAAGTTCTTTGCTCTCTGAAGATGCCATGAAGCAGATTCTAGATACTACATAATTTCCCTGAAATGTCCTGACCTTTCATAAAGCTCTTTCATAAAGCACCCTGAGCCTTTCAGAATAATTTTCCTTTGACCTGACCTAACGTGAAAATATAATTCATTCAACTCAAAACATTAAAGATTTATTATTCATTTTATAAAGAGATGCATGCACCGCTTTTCCAAAAAATTATTTTAAATAGTAAGATGCCATGATGCATTTAAATCAATTCATTTTACAAAAATTGTATTCATCCCCGGCTCCTCTGGAGCATATAAAAGAAGAACATTTGTGGAGGTGAAAGTTTAATGTGGCATTAAACTCCAGTATCACTCTTCACCTGCTAATTTGCTAGTTATTATTTCACCTCATTTAAGTTTCTGCTCAAATGTGACTTCCTCAGGGAGTCCTGTCTAAAAATAGCTTCCCTATCATTTTCTCTCCTCTATTTTTTTTTTTAATAACACTGTCACTACTGACATTTTATTACATATTTATTAGTTTGTTTATTTCTACTACTGGGACGTAAGATCGATGTCAGAGGTTATTGTATTCATGTTGTAGTGGCTGTAACAGTTCATAAATATTTGTTGAATGGATGGATGGATGAATGAATGAATGAATCTCACTCCATTGCAACCTGTAGCAAAATTGATGTTTAATTCAGAAAATTTTCCAGGACTTTTATTTGGTGATTTCTAGGATCCAAGGACTACCAACTGGTTACGTGGTCACGGGACCAGACCTTAAGAATGTGGCGAGTGGATTCCCAGATGCAGAGGGTATGTATTCATTGCTGTTGTGGAGGAATGTAACCAGATACACTAGATCAGTGATGGCGAACCTTTTGAGCTCGGCGTGTTAGCATTTTGAAAAACCCTAACTTAACTCTGGTGCCTTGTCACATATAGAAATTTTTTGATATTTGCAACCATAGTAAAACAAAGACTTATATTTTTGATATTTATTTTATATACTTAAATGCCATTTAACAAAGAAAAATCAACCAAAAAAATGAGTTCGTGTGTCACCTCTGACACGCGTGACATAGGTTCGCCATCACTGCGCTAGAAACTTAAAAAAAATACAAAATTTGGTATTTGTGGAAATTAGAGGGTACATGATAGTTATTTGATACGTGCTTGCTGGTAGGCCAAGTGGCTGTGTATGCCACAGTGAGGTCTGAGGTCTTTAAGAGCCAACTTCAGTATTCAGCACTTAAAGGCTGAAGAACCTCTGCATGTCTTTTCTTCTGTCCTGGTCTAAGAGGGTGTGGGCAGCATACTGAGCAAATGGCCCATGGGCTTCATTTCTTTTACTTTTCAATGGGCTAGGAAATTTACCCTTGCACTCGGAAGTGTTCAGAGCCCTCTACGTCCATCAATGATACCTGTTCTATGAGGCCTTTTCCAGTTTTTGTCCCATGAACGATATCTGTTTCTTATATGGTCCACATTGGAAGCGGGTATGAACTGCTTTGCTCTGCCTCATCTCAGTGCTCTGACTTCTCATTCAGTGGCTACATTTCTTGAGGTCTGGAATCATGTCTCACTTGTATTCCTCCCCCACAGCACTCTGTACAGAGTGGATAGAAAACGGTGGGTAAAATTTGCTTAGTATGAAGTCATTCTTGAGCATTTTCGTCAATTATCAACTTATTGTCTTTCAAATCTATTTTTCTCCAAAAAGTATCATTTGCTCTAATGCTCTGAAGGTTATTATATTTTGGAGGTTAGCTGAATAACTCCATCAAGGCTTAGAATTAAAAATAATGCTTTCTGAGGCTTGCATAAACTACGAACAGGATGAAAAAATTCCACGGTAGAATAATAGAGTCTATTCTCCTGTGTATTTAACCAGGGAGAGTTGGCGATGGATAAAACCTGTTTTGATTTTATCAGTTTTTGTCTGACATCTCTATCCTTTGTGATTCCCATTTTTTTAAAAAATTGATTTTTAGAGAGGAAGGAAGGGAGGGGGGAGAGAAAGAGAGAGAAACATCAATGTGAGAATGAAACATGGATCAAATGCCTCCTGCAGGCTCCATATGGCTTCGAGGGGGGCGGGGGAGGTGGAGTCTGAAACTCAGGCATATGCCCTGACCAGGAATCGAATTGGCAACCTTTTGGTGCACAGGACGACACCCAACCAACTGAGCCACACCAGCCAGGGCTGTGATTCCCATTTTTAGGTGAGAACTCTAACCCAACATGCTGACATTTCCACTGACTTCTCTGGACCCGGATCTTCTACCCTTTGTTGCAGCTTTGTGCAAATGACATATTAGATGGTGTTGATGAGTTCATCGAGAGCATTTCTCTTCTGCCGGAACCAGAGAAGACCCTTCACGCGCAGGACACAGATCACCAGCACAGCTTAAGCCATGGAGAGGAAGAAGGTAATTGGTCAGACTGATGTTTTACGTGAGGTGCCCTCTGCGCATTTCAGAGTTGTCGAACTGCTCTCTGACTCAGTGCCACAGATGTTTGCCCACAGTTGAACCTCTCTCCCTTATAGTCTTAAAGGAAGATCCCCCGGGCAGTCTCCTGGAAGAGAAGAAATCAGATCAGCCGGGACTGCCTCAGACTCTGCAGCAGGAGTTCTCCCTGATCAACGTGCAGATCCGGAATGTCAACGTGGAGGTGCTCCAAGTCGAATGAATTGTCTCATGCTCGCGATGGCAGTTGGTGGGAGAGGGGTCTATTTCAGCTAAGATTTCAGCTAGCAAATAGCTTTGCTGCTTTAACAGATAAGTCTCTCTGCTTACTTTTTTTATTTCCTGGGTTTTCTAAAGAAATTGATATTTTGCAAATGCAGATTATTTTTCTAACCATATTACTGTCTCATAAGATGACCTAAGGGATAAACTGATGCTCATGTGTCTTAAAATCTTAGATGCTCCAACACCTCCTTTACTGTATGTGAAGATACTTAGATCCGGGAAGGCTTAGTGACTTGACTCAAGTTACTGGTGACGTTAATGACAGAACTGAGTTTGGAAGCCAAGCCTCTGACTCTCCAGGGCTTTTTGTGCTTTGCTGTCCAATCTTCCCTTAAAGCCGGCCATGTCCTTGGTGATTCAGAGTCATAGTAAGAAGGTGACCAAACCTCTCTGTTCACTTCACACATGGAGAGGTTTACTCTTTTTCTTTTTTTTTTTTTTGGCAGCTGTTCTTTGCTTCAGGGAATTGAGTCTCTCTCTATAAAGGAGTTTCAAAACTTGATTAGTTTTTCTTTTGCCCAGATTCAGTTAATAGTAGGCATGGATATGTACACTTACATAATTATCCCATTCGGTGTTTAAAACAACTCTGCAGCAAGTGCTTTTATCCCCACTTTTCTGATGAGGAAAAGGAGACACTAAGAGATGACTTGTCCAAGGTCAGCTGCTGTTTGGTGGAAGAGATTTAATATCTGTCTCCAGCCCTAGCTGGTTTGGCTCAGTGGATAGAACGTCGGCTTGTGGACTGAAGGGTCCTGGGTTTGATTCCGCTCAAGGGCGCATGCCTGGGTTGCAGACTCGGTCCCCAGTAGTGGGTGTGCAGGAAGCAGCCCATCAATGATTCTCTCTCATCATTGATGTTTCTGTCTCTCTCTCCCTCTCCCTTCCTCTCTGAAATCAATAAAAATATATAAAAAAATATTTTAAAAAATATCTGTCTCCCGATTTCCCACGTGTTTGGCTCTTTTCACTGTGCTCCACGTGTCTTCTCTAGTTGGCAGCACAGGCAAACGAAAGAGAGAGAGGGTTCCTAGGTTAACTGGCTATCAGTTTATACACCTCTGTCCCAGCTGGAAACAGTGTGGATACCTGGTGATCGAGTTTAAGAAGGAAATCTTAATTCTTTTCCCAGGAGTGCTTTTTAAAAATTATTGGGATATAATTCACATACCATATTTACCCTTTTAAAGTGTATAATTTAGTGCTTCTTAATATAGTCACAAAGTTGGGCATTTATAACCACTGTCTAATTCCAGAGCATTTTCATCATCCCCAAAGAAGTCATATATCCCCAGTTACTCTCCATTTTCCTCTCTCCCTAGCCCACGGCAACTACTAATCAGTCCATTTTTATGGATTTTCCAAGGAGTACTTTTTAAATTGAGTCAAGTATTTAACTTTTTCCTGCTTTATTTTCCTTTCTTAAAATAAATATGTTTCAGCCTACCTACAACTTTTAGGATGAAGCTTTTTAAAATCAGAATACTTTGCACTTATTAAAGTGGTGCTAAAATTAATGAGTTGTCCAAATCTTCCAAATTAATTTGTTTTTGGAATTCTACCTGTATCTTTGGAGATTTCAGGAACTAGGAGCATTTAGTTAGCTGATTTAAAATACATTTTTATTGATTTCAGAGAGGAAGGGAGAGGAAAAGAGAGATAGAAACATCAATGATGAGAGAGAATCATTGATTGGCTGCTTCCTGCACACCCCTACTGGGGATCAAGCCCACAACCTGGGCATGTGCCTTTGATGGGAATCGAACACGGAACCCTTTAGTCCATAGGCCAACACTCTATCCACTGAGCCAAACCAGCTATGGCCAGTTAGCTGATTTAAATCAGTTTGCACCTAAAAACCCTTCCTGGTTAGTCTCCAAAGCAGTTGTTGATTTGTCTCTTGCAGATGGACGCAGCGGATAGGAGTTGCACAGTGTCTGTGCACTGTAGCAACCATCGTGTCAAGATGCTGGTGAAGTTCCCGGCACAGTATCCAAACAATGCCGCCCCTTCCTTCCAGTTTATCAACCCCACGACCATCACGTCCACGATGAAAGCGAAGCTGCTAAAGGTTGGGATCTGTGTTCACATATTCTCCTTGATGTTTGTATGAGAGCTCTGCTCCTGAGCATGAGTAGTGAAGTTGAATGAAAATACCAACTGGTAAGATTTGGAAGTCGTCTGTCCTGACATACTGCAGTGTTAACACTTGCTATTCATTTTGTGTAGAAAACATTAGAGCAGTGGTTCTTGACCTTTTTGGATCATGGACACCCTTTGAAAGTCTATTGAAAACTATGGACCCTTTCCAGAAAAATCTGCACAAATATTGCATATAATTTTAGAGATATTGTCTGTGAAATAATATGAATCTCTATGATTGCATTTAATCTGCTAAGAGATCTCATTAAAACTATGTATTACTCCCAGATTAAAAACCTTGCAATACAGTTTCATTTATCTGGAAACAATAGGCAAGGTGTATTCTGAAGATAAAATATATTTTGTAATCAGAAAAAAATGTGTAAGGTTATTTAAAAAAATCCATTCCAAATGATAGCTATTGTAAATTGTGCTGCTATGAACGTAGGGGTGCATATATCCTTTCTGTCTGGTATTTCTGTTTTCTTGGGATATATACCTAGAAGTTGTATTACTGATGGCAGTCCCATTTTTAGTTTAGTAAAAAAAGAAGGAATTCTTAATGTTTGCAACAGCATGGATGGAACTGGAGAGCATTATGCTAAGCGAAATAAGCCAGTCAGAGAAAGATAAATATCACATGATCTCACTCATTTATGCAATATAATGAACATCATAAACTGATGAACAGAAATAGATACAAAGACAAAGAAGCATCGAACAGACTGTCAAACTACAGTGGGAAGGCAGGGGAGGGTTGGGGTTGGATAAGAGATCAACCAAAGGACTTATATGCATGCGTATAACCAATGGACACAGACACTGGGGGCAGGAGGGGTTGGGGGTAGGGAGTGAGGGCATGTGCTGGGGGGTAGAGGAGGCCGGGGGGAGGTCAATGGGGGAAAAAGGAGACTCATGTACTACTATTTGTAATATTTTAAACAATAAAAAATTTTAAAAAATCCATTCCATAAAAAGAGATAGTGCCATCCTCAAATGAGGCAGCTGGCTGCACAGGTGAGTGTGTGAAGGATGGCCGTGCCTGAGTGGAGGAGGGACAGCCTGGCGGCTGGTCTTCACCCTGCATGTGCAGAAACTCGGTTTGTTAGTTCACACCAAGCAAATCAGGCAGAATTCCCATGAGGAAGCCCCATGAGCTGGGGATGATACACCTTTTGCAGTGTGAGCAGCATCACATAATAAAGTAACTGAGATGTCCTGACAAAACCAAGTTGACCTGAATACTGTTCACCTTTTGCCTAGTTTATTTCATATGCACTTAATCTATCTTCTTGGAGTATGATCTATAGTAAAACATTTTTATTTTATTTTGCAATTAGAGTTTTTATTCAATATTATTTTTAATTTCAGGTATACAGCATAATGGTTACACAGTCATGCATTTGCAAAGTTATTCTCCCCAATATTTCTAGTACCCACTTGGCATCAGACCTAGTTATGCAATTAAGAAAATTTTCAAGTGTCATAAGGACCTTTGAAATGCTACTTACTCAGACTTTGTGGTATTTGACATTTTGTACTTGGAATTTGAATATTTCATTGTCTCATTTGGACATGTAAAAAAGACTTCTGGTATAAAAATGATAGAATTAGAAAATGTTCTTAAAGGTTGAATTCAGTGCTGTCCAGTAGAAATATGATGCATGCGACGTGTAATTTTAAACTAAAATTAAAAGGTTAATTAATTCAGTAATATTTTTATTTAATCCCGTATATTTAAAGAATTATCAGAGCAACATGTAGTCAGTATGAAAATGAAAATTATTGAGGTAGTTTACATTTTTTTTCTTTTTGGTACTAAGTCTTCAACATTCGGTATGAATTGTATACTTACGGCACACCTCAGTTCATACAGCCACATTCCAGCTGCTCGTACCCCCATGTGGGTAACGACTTCCATATCGGACAGCGCTAGTCCAGTTTACATGCCTGTCTTCAGTATGTGTATGTCAGCTTACATGCACAGCATGTGCCTTAAAATGATGGGATTTATATTTTTAAAGAACCAAAAAAAAGATATAACTTTCCCTAAAGTGAAATCTGTTCCCCTGGCTTACTATATGTATCACTCAGAGCCATTTTCAGTTCAGCCAGCGGGTGTTCCTTGTAAGGCACTGAGATTTCTCATGGAGGGGGGTAAGGCAGGGGATGAGGAAAGGAGTTGAATGTTCACTAAAGAACATTCATTCCATTACTAGACATGCGCCCTCTGAAACCGGCATGTGTGCCTGCCTCAGGAAAGGGCTTCTGAAAGCGGGTTCAGAAATGAGTCTTCTCTCCGAGCCTCTAGAGAAGGTGGAAAGTCGTAATCTGTGTGGGAAGCCTCAGGCACAGGCGTGCTCCGGTTTCCCTGCTCTTCACCGCCTCCGACTGCTCTGAAGAATGTTGCTATTATTGACTGTGTTTTGTGCCTTTTCCAGATCCTGAAGGACACTTCCCTGCAAAAAGTGAAACGCAACCAGAGCTGTTTGGAGCCCTGCGTGCGCCAGCTCGTCTCCTGTCTGGCGTCTTTCGTGGTGAGGTTCTTACGCCAGCCTGTGCTTCGGTGTTTTGTAGACTCTCCTCCTCCCTGGGCGCCTGATTTTGTAATAATGTGTCTTTATTTTGTGACTCAGCTTTGAGGCAGGTTGTGGTTTTTAGTCTGTTGACTTTTAAATTTCAGAATCAAGAAGACAGTGCTTCCAGCAACCCCTTTGCGCTCCCAAACTCCGTCACCCCACCCTTGCCAACGTTTGCCCGGGTGACCACCGCCTATGGGTCGTACCAGGATGCCAATATTCCCTTTCCTAGGACCTCGGGGGCCAGGTTCTGTGGAGCAGGTTGGCCTTTTTTTGGTTCTCTGATTCTAGATTTTGGGAGAGCAGTTTTTCTTTGTTTTTATTTTCTGAGAACTCAAACAAACTTCTATCATAGTGTGATGTGGTCTGATGCCAGATTGGCGTCTGTGGACAAATCCTATGCATGTTCACCAGAATTACAGTCTTGAGAGTGTGAATTTGGGTCTCACTCAGAGTCCTGATTCTTAACAGGGGACAGGTCCCCTGACCAGGCAATATAAAATACCTGTGATGACTTTTTCCAAACTACACACATCCCGTCTCCTGGGTCCTGACCTTTGTCCTTGTTAAGTATGGCTGCGGTCATGAGCCTTTGCACCTCATGGAAATGTGTCCCGTCCTTCGGATATATTGAAATAGACAAAAGATTGACCAATGCTGCCTTAGAATTTCCCATGTCCCGCTCATTGACCTTGATGTGCACATGTGATGTTTCCTTTGTCAGGCTATCTGGTGTATTTCACAAGGCCCATGACGATGCATCGAGCAGTATCCCCGACAGAACCTACTCCGAGGTGAGTCTGGGAGATACAGCTGTAAGCTACATTCATGAAGTGGACAGACATCTGGGAATGACCTTTGAGTTTGTCTTTAGATAATTTATTTTATCTTCAGTAAATATCTATTATAAGTTTATTTGAGAAAGATCAAATTCATTAAATTGCAACTAAGCTGAGATTTCTACTATGAAGTTACAACCAAACCACTACAAGGAGTAGTTTAATGAAAGCTGTTGTCTAAACAAGGCAAGTTTCTTTTATTATTATTATTATTTTTAATCCTCACCGGAGGATATTTTTTCCATTGATTTCTAGAGAGAGAAGAAGGGAGGGAGGAGGAGGGGAGAGAGATAGAGAGAGAAACATTGATGTGAGAGAGACACTTCAATTGGTTGCCTTCCATATGCGTCTCTACTATAGCTGTGGAACCTGCAAACGAGGTACATGCCCTTGACTGGGAATCGAATCCAAGACCTCTCGGTCCCAGGGCAGCTGCTCTAACCACAGAGCCACACTGACCAGGGCAATAAGGAAGTTTTAAATTAAAATATGAAAGCTCTTCTTTTTTCCCATGTCCTGGGGAAAGCCACTGTTAACAATTTAATGTGTATTCTGTTTAGTCTTCATTATTTTTCTTCCTTTTTTCTTCTTGAGAGGCAGTCTACTGTAGCAAGTGGGAACATGGACTTCAGAGCCAAACTGCTGGATCCAAATCTTGGCCCTGTAGTTATATGACCTTTGGACTGTGCTTGATTTTCCTCAACAATAACTTGGAGGTGATAATGGCATCTACCTCCTTTACTTACTGTGGAGGTTAAAGGAGTTAATCCTTATAAAGCATTTAGAACACTGCCTGGGACATAGGGAGTGTTCTAACTGCGTTTCTTATTATTACTGCTTTAAAAGGAAAAGTTTCATTTAACAATTTTATTGAGATATAATTCACACAGTATACAGTTGACCCATTTAAAGTGTATAATTGAATGGTTTTTAGTATATTCACAAATATGTGCAGTCATCACTGCAGTCACATTCTAGACCATTTTCATTATCTCAGAAAGAAACTTTATATCCCCTTAGCTATCACCTCTCCTCCTCTATTCTTCCAGCCCTGGGCAAACTCTAATCTACTTTCTGTCTATCAATGTACCTATTCTGGACATTTCATATAAATGAAATCATATAGTATGTGGTCCTTTGTGACTTGCTTCTTTCATTTGGTGTAATGTTTTAAGGAATATATATATATATATACACACACACACACACACACACACACACACACACACACACTCATACACTCCACATTTTATTTATTCATTCATCAGTCAGTGGGCATTTGGGTTATTTCTACTTTTTGGCTATTATGAATAATGCTGCCGTGAACATTGATATACAAGTTTTTTTGTGGACATATGTTTTCACTTTTCTTGGGTATTACCTAGGAATGGAATTGCTAGATCATATTGTAAAGTTATTTTCTTAATTAATACACTTTATCATTTAGAGTAATTTTGGATTCATAGCAAAACTGAATGGAAGGTATCGAGTTCCGGTATACTTCCTCCTCCCCCCCCCCAACATCCCCCATACTACTGGTTTTTAAAACTTAAATATGTTATATACTGTAGACTTTTGTGGTGACCATAACTTCTAAATCCTGCTACAAACACCTGGGTACATTGGTGTAACATATTAGCATACTTATGAATGAATAGCTGAGCTAACAAGAAAGGAAGGAGATTGAACCAGGTGCGTGGGCAGGTGCCGCTGCTGTCCAGGGAGTTTGCCAGTCTCCTCAGTAACCCAGGCAGATGAGACATTGGTCCCACAAAAACTAGGAGTTAAGAGCTAGAGACCCTTATATTATACTGGGTTCCTTATTTGAAAGGTTCGACTAGAAAACAATCACCTCCTCTCTAAGAAAAGCAGGAATATCTGGACCTGAACTTTGGATCAGAGGGGAAAATGTTCCTAATTAGAATGTTTTTCATACTAACAGTATTTTATTGACCAGCACCCAAATCAAGAACCAGCGCATTGCCCTCACCCGAAAAGTTCCCTGGTCCCTGTGCCCAGCGAAAACCACTCCTCTTACTGCCATCATTGTAGTTGAGTTTTGCCTGTGCTTGAATTTCACCTAAATGGACTCATGCAGCATGTACTATTTTATGTCTGGCTTATTTCGCTGAACTCAGTGCTTTTGAAATTGATCCTTATTGTTGCATGTATCCATAGGTTCACTGTATGAAAATAAAACAGTTCATTCCTACTCCTATTGATGAACATTTGGATTATTTCCAGTTTGGGGCTATCTTAGTGTAGACCTACAAATACAAGTCTTTTTATGGATGTGCGTATTAATTTCTCTACCCAAGGAGTCAAATCCCTGGATCATAGGATAGGTGTATGTTTAATTTTACTAGAATTGCCAAAAAGTCTGTTCCCAGGGGTTGTACCGTTTTATACTCTTTGCCAGCAATGTTTCAGAGTTCTGGTTGCTCCACATCCTCTCCAAAACTTGGTCTTTTCAGTTGTTTTTACTTCAGCCATTGTGGTAGGTGTGTAGTATAGTGGTTTTAATTTGCATAACTCTGGCGATGACTGATGATGTTGAGCCACTTTTGTGTGCTAATTGACCATTTGGGTATCTTTTATGATGTGCTTTTATTTTGCCCAGTTTTTGGACTGTTTCTATTATTTATCTGTGGTAGTTTTCATTTTGGTTGCAAATCCTTTGCTAGATATATTGATTTTCTTCTAACCTGTGGCTTGTTTTCTCCCTCCTTAGTGATTATTGATAAACAGCATTTTTTAATTTTGATGAAATCTGCACCATCACTTTTTAAAATTTTATAGTTAGTTCTTTTGTGTCCTGCCTGAAAAAATCTATGCCTGTCCCAAGGTCATGAAACGATTCTTCTGTGTTTTTCTTTCAGAAGTTTAAAATTCCTTATTAAAAGTCTGTAATCTATTTCAAATTAATTTTGTGTATGATATGAGGTAGGAGCCAAAGTTTTTTTGTTTTTTTTCTAGTAGTAATATATCATTGTCCCAGCACCATTTATGGAAATGATTTTTCTTTTCTCATTCTGAATTGATACCTTTGTTGAAAATTAATTGGTCATGTGTTTGTGGATTTATTTCTGGACTCCTTTTTCTCTTAATCTATTGGTCTCTCCTTATACCAACACTACACTCTTGATGTAGCTTGCCCTAGTAAGTTTTCCAGTCTGGTAGTGTAAATCCTCCAAGTGTACTATTTTTATTCAGGATTGTTTTGGCTATTCCAGCTCTTTTACATTTCTATAAAAGATGCAGTCAGCTTATTGGTTTCTATGATAAAGCTCAAATCTTGATTGGAATTGTGTTGACTCTGTCAATTAATTTGGAGGAAATTGTTATCTTAGTAATATGTAATCTTCCAATCCACTAATGTGGTATAATTCTCTGTTGTTTTGGGTCTTTAATTTCTCTTAGCAATATTTTGTATTTCCTTTTTTTTTAAACCATTTATCCCCCCCCCCCCCGTATCCTCCTCTACCTCCCCCAATCCTCCTACCCCCCGAAATCATCACACTGTTGTCCGTGTCCAGGAGTTTCTCTTTTTTTCCTTTTGCTCAAACCCTCCAACCCCTCTAGCTCCCCTGAGAGCTGTCAGCCTGCTCTCTATGAGTCTGTCTCTATAATACTTTGTGTTTTCAATGCACATTTTTTCCACTAAATTTGTTCCTGGGTATTTGATGGGTTTTGATGCTATTGTAAATGAAATTTTAAAAATGTTTATTTTCCAAATATTTGTGTCTAATATTTAGAAAAAGAGTAGATTTCTTTTTTGTTTTGTTTTGTTAATCCTCACCCAAGGATATTTTTCAGGAAAGGAGGGGGAGACAGAGAGAGAGAGAGAAAGATGGATGTGGGAGATATACATCAATTGGTTGCTTCCTGCATGTGCTCCAATGGACTGGGGCTTGAACCTGCAACCCAGGTACATGTCCTTGGCCGGGAATCAAACCCAAGGCCCTTCGGTGTGCGGGCAAACATTCTAACCACTGAACAACACCAGCCCGGCATAGTAGATTTTTATAGATTGACCTTGTATCTAAACTCACTTATTAGTTTTAGTAGTTTGTAGAGTCCTTTGAATTTCCTATGTATGTAATCAGAAACATTCTCTGCTTCTGCAGATAAGGTATTTTTCAGTCCTGAAAGTTCTGTTTAATTCATTTTTGGAGACTCCATTTCCCCCCCATTTTATCCATCTTTTTCTCTTGGTTTCATCAAGCACTAAGAACGGCACTGCTTAAAAAGATGGAAAGATTGAAGCCAGTATGGATAACGCTGCATTTTCAACCACAGGTCTCTCTCGGCCTTGTCTGCTTATCATACTGGTTTGATTGCGCCAATGAAGATCCGCACAGAGGCCCCTGGGAACCTTCGTTTATACAGTGGGAGCCCCACTCGCAGTGAGAAAGAGCAGGTCTCCGTCAGCTCCTTCTACTACAAGGAGCGGGTAAGCAGCAGAGCCTCGGCCTTTGATTTCTATCCCTTCCCTGGATTCCTGTTCTTTGTCTCCCTGCTTGCCATGCACAGCAGCTAAATTAGCAATCCCCTGTAGACTTTCACTGTCATAATTAGTTTGTTAAAGAAAGACCATTGTTTTGTGCCTTTCCATTGGCTTTACCTACTAAAATTGAATCTGGGAGGATCTCCCCACTTAATCCTATTCTTGTAATCCCCATTCATTAAGTTGATCATTCTTTCAGATAGAATAATTGAGCTTCAGATATTCCTTGGTCTTCTGATGTTCATCAACAAATTAAGGGGTATTTCTGAGGGCTTGGGGTCTTGCTGTAATTGCAACTTCATATCTGTGAGAAGTTTTAAAGTTAATTTCTAAGAGGTTTTATGGTTTTTATAAGTCTACACTGAAGTACCCATTTGAGTGGACCAGTTTATATAAAAATCGCTTGCACCTGGCCTTATGTTCCTGGGTTCTTAAGGAACTCATCGTCCCTAAGGTAGCTATTAAGCTGTCAGAAGCCTTTAGTGACGACAATGTAGAGAGTGTGGGCAGAGCGTAGGAAGGACTCTGAGAACTCTTTCTTGTCAGATTGAGCATCTGGTTTAAACCAGCTTTTACTTGACATGATGTTTTAAACAGAGTTACCACTGAGCTACTCACAAACTCAGTCCTGTGGGATTCTTTGCTGTTGTCCTCCACTAATGAGGAAATGATGGATCAACCATAATTTAACATTTTTAAATTGGATTATTTTAAATAAACCATTTTCTAGCAAGTGTTAGAGGTGTCATCACTCTGATTGCAACTGTACTATCTAACATTCCTGGTTCTCACTGATAGTTGGCCGTCTCTGACTTTGTCCTCTGAAATGAGTGGCAGGAACCGATGCTTGAGACAAGACCAGACTCGGGCAAAGCCATTCAGTTGAATAGAGACCATGATTGTTTTTGTTGCCTTTCTGGCCAACTTTCTTTGCCTCTCTGCTGGAATGAATCCCCCTGGCTGTCACAGACCTTCTTGGGACACCATATCTTCCCAAATCTTTTACAGTGAAAAAAATTATTTTAAATGCAAGCTAGCTGGTAACTGTCTAGATGATTTGATAAACTTAGTTGGAAATAAGGCATTTTTTAATTGACATCATGGTTGGATAAATATGGGAATTTTCTTTAGCATTAGAGCCAGGTTGAGAGATCTTTTAGTTGAATCATGTCATATGCAGCTCATGCTTAGATTCTGTGGGCAAAACACACAGACTAGTACTTTTGACTCTGTGACGGTGTGTAAAGGCCATGTCAAGTCTAAGTAACCCCAGTTCCAAGTTGGGATTTCTCCTGATGTGGAAGCATTTGTAATGCCCACACTCATGTGTTGGATGGTCTGGCCTCTTTTACTACAAACACCACAATCACAGAGGGACCAAAGGAAGGATCGTGATATTTCAGTTTGGGGTTGTTCCCACTGTGCTGCTTCTCTACAGAAAATGGGCTATGATCATCCCCGAGGATGACATAGTAAGTGATCTTTCAGTTTTATTTCAGATAGCAAGTAAAATGGGAGAGACCCTTTTATTATAATTGTATATGAAACTTTTATATTGCTGTTTAACCTATGTATAGAAAAGTTCACAAATCATAAGCATCTAATCCAGTGAATTAACAGTCATAGCGGCCAGGAAATAGAAAATTACAAGAACCCCAGAATCCCTGGGGAAGGAAGGCACATTCCAATGGATGACATAAAGTAGTTATGAGATTAAAACATATGAAATGGATGCTATTTGACCATTTTTGACCTTAAAGAAAAATTTCAGTTGGTTCAACATAATATGTTAAAATAGGAAAGTCAGTTATTTTGTGATGAATCTGAAATAAATTCATCTCTCCTTAAAGCTTATTCATGTCCATCCCATTTACATGGGCAAATGGGGGAGGATTAAAGAAATGAGATACAGCCATGATATTGTCCGTAGGCCTTCTTATTTTCCTTATGGACAGCAATACGGTTCTTTGCCTTAAGGAGTATTTTCTGATTCTCAGGTGTCTAATTTCTTGGGTTAAATAATAGCACTTTCATTACTTTGGTTCTGGAAATGATTCAGTTTACTAAATTTTTGTGTTTTTATTTTCATCCCAGATCTTTCGTCTACATATTTCTGTTCTCTTTTAGATCTCTATCCCTGAGATTTTTAAAAGGCATTTAAAAAATGTTTTTATTTTTAAAGAGGAAGGGAAAGGGAGAGAGAGACAGAAACATCAGTGATGAGAGAGAATCATTGATTGACTGCCTCCTGTCCTCCCTCTACTGGAGACCAAGCCTGCAACTTAGGCATGTGTCCTTACCGGCAATGGAACTGTGACCTGGTTTATAGGTTGACCCTCAGCCACTGAGCCTCACCGGTTGGGCTGTTTTTGTGATTTTAACCTGCCCGACTTAGGTTGTGTTATATTCAGCCAAATGTTCTCCAGATGGAATTCCAAGCTTGCTCCTAAAAGTTAAAAAAAGTGAGACATTAAAAAAAAAAAGTATATTTTTTATTGATTTCAGAAAGGAAGGGAGATGGAGATAGAAATACCAATGATGAGAGAACCATTGATTGACTGCCTCCGCATGCCTCACACCAGGGATTGAGCCCGAAACCTGGGCATGTGCCCCCGACTGGGAATTAAACCATGACCTCTTGGTTCATAGGTCGACGCTCAACCACTGAGCCACTCTGGCCAGGCTGTGAGACACTATAGGAAGTTAGTTAGAAAACACAGAGTGATGCTAACATTCATTTGGTAACTGGACCAACTATTAATAGTTGATGAAATATTACTTATTCTATGGAAGGCCCAGAACTTTCTGAGAAACATTAGGCTTTACCCTATAAACATTAAAAAGTTTTTGCAACCTCCCACATTTGCTTCAGTTTATGTTATGAAAATAGCTCTAAAGTAAGTAACTGGGGAGGCCTTGAAGTTGCTAGAATAGTTTCTGATCTCCATAAACAGTGTGCGTGCTCCCAGTTTCACACGTTGTTAAGGAGAATGCCCTGAAGAGCGTAAGTCCTCAGCCTCAGCTCCCCCTGCATTTCTCTGGGGCTCTCGCTTCCCATGGCATCACTCTAAAAATAGTCACGCGGTCCCAAGGTCAAGGTTTCCAATTTCTCCAATGCTCTTTAGCTACGCACCCAAAAAATGTGGTATTGAGTGTATGGAAGAACTTCTTCCTTTTTAGGAATGGGAATATTCTCGCACTTACACATGCCCCTGAAAGGGCAAGCAGAGTCCTCCACTGTTTGTCCAGTTGCTCTGTGATCCTAATCCTCATTAGTTCCTTTGGTCAGAGCGGTATGGACATCAGCCCCTTATATGTTGAAATGTGTTTTGGGCTGAAAAACAATGACATTGAAGCTGGGTTTGGAGTGTGATGGGTTGGGCGGGAGGAGAGGGAATCCACCTACTGCTGTGTTTCAATTCAGATTTTGTAGCATTTCAGTTTTATTTTGTAGTATATTATGGTATCATTTAATCCATCAGATATGTGGGAAGCTTTCATTTTATTCTATATTTTTCCCTTTTAATTTTCTTGGTGTTTTTCTTCCCTCCTCCTGGGTGTAACGTTTTCACGCACAGATGTCTCCTCGCTCTGCCCGGCGACGTTGGTCCATACAAGCAATTAACGACTTCCCGGTACTGTGCGCTGTGCAAATGCTCTCCTTGACTAATTCTGTCTCTGCCCAAAGGCCCAAGAATAAAATGCCACCTGCCTGGCTTTGAGGAACCTGAAATGACAGGCTGGCTGGGTTTCAGGACCAGCAACAATAAGTTTTCATTCTTGGGAGTCAGGTGCCAAGGACTGCCTCCTGGGTCTCTGACAGTTTCAAATGGGTGAATACGATACCGTTAAGGATTGTGAATGGACTTCTTTGAAAAGGAAGCTCAATACTGAGTTTCTTGGGAAGAACCCCGATTGTAAGCCTTCAGCTACCTGATTTCATTTGGAATATTTGTGTAATTTCACAGAGCTTTCAGAAGCCTACCTTTGGCATTGGGAAGCAGAGGAAGATATAAGGGGCTTCCACCATTGTGTTTGTTTTTATCGTCTTGGTGTAATTCAACGAGGGAAGTGCCCATCTCATCCACTGACACGACACATAAGCTATTTTTTATCTTTTAGAAATTTTCTGAAACAAAATTTTCCCATACCATCAGTTTTTGCATTGACAGTCAAACCTGGGCATCAGCTCTTCCTTTCTTCCTTTCTTCCTCACTCCTATTGGCCATCTCCCCTCTTCTGTCTTCCTCTCCCGCCCCCTTGACCAGTCAGTAGTGCCATGGTGACCTCAGGCTGTGCAAGGCAGCCTTAAGGCATTAGCTTAAATTTCATTTGGTGTAAAAAATATTTAGGGGGGTAGTTCTATAGCCTTTTCACATAAAAACCAGTTGAAATCAGGAGCCCTGATTAGCAGTACCGCAGCTGCTGACAACTTGCAGGTGGAGCTGCCAGCATGGCCACCTTTCCTCCAAAGGCCTGTCCCAGCCAGCTGACTGCTGACTTCCACTGGCTTTCCCAGCAGGCTCCCCTGCTGCTATTTAACCGGGAATTCATCAGGACTCCCTCCCACTCTGCTGATTATGCACTGTTGATGGGGTTGCTGCGAAGCAGTTGGTGGCTTATTCTTGGGCTGTTTTTACATTTTACCCATTTATTGACATCCATGTTGCCTCCGGTTGTAGCAGTAACACTGGTGGTACAGTCGCAAGCTGGCTGTTGGTTGTCATTCAGTGCTATTTGCACCAATGCCTCCCTCCCGCTTCCTCCCACCCTATTCCTTCCCTATCCGTCCTCTTTCCCATGATTCCATGAACACCTTCTTGGTATGTTCAGAGGAGCACCCTGATGCTCATTATGTGATAATTTGTCTGTCTTGCTTTGCCTCTCCCCTCAATCCCTGCTCGTAATCTGTGGGAAGGGGCATTTTCTCTTGATGGGGCATTGAGAAGACATAAGAGAAATGCAGAGTCCTTTGCCTCCCAGAAGTAATGATTTTACCGCACTGAAAAGTATCCATGTTTTAGCCGTCAGAGTGGGACTGGAGCAATGCAGGAGGCTTAGAGGGCATTTGGGGCACAGTGTCCTCCCCTCACCTGGAAAGATCAACCACACTCAGACTGGTGTGTCATGGTTCTCTGCCTGTCATCACCTGATAGTTGCATAGATAAGAGAGACTCCCAAAATTGCCACTAGATATTAAGGGGAAAGGAAGTCTTGGGAAAGTGTGGATGGAATATGAACCCTTTTAATTGTCAAAGCTCTAAAAGAAACACCCTGAAAAACAGTCCATGCTTGTTAGGGAGCAGCAAGGATTTGAGTTTGGCATGTCTTCATTTAGCAGCCTCGTTTTATCTGAATCCCCAAGGAATTGGCCACTATACAGGATTACTGAGTGACCCCTGTAGCAGGAAGGGGAGGTATTTCATATGTTAAAACCACCAACCAACAAATTTAAAAAGAAACTGTTTGGCTCAGTGAATAGAATGTCGGCCTGTGGACTGAAGGGTCCCAGGTTTGATTCTGATCAAGGCCACGTACCTTGGTTGCAGGCTCGATCCCCGGCCCTGGTCCAGGTGCTGGCAGGAGGCAAACAATCCATGTGAAAGAGACATCTTGCATCGATGTTTCTCTCTCTCTGTCTCTCCCCCTCTCTTCCCCTCTCTCTAAAAATCAATGGAAAAATATCCCTGGGTGAGGATTAACAAAAAAAAAAAAAAAGAAACTTTTGTGACTGGTTAAAGATCTTTGATAATGTTTTGTAGTATTCCTTTCTGGGTTAAATGAATGAATACTGCTGTCCCATAATTGATTTCATAGTGTGATTCTTGGTGACAGCTATAATTAGGTGGCCCTGTGTTGGGGAAGCTTCTCCTATTATAGGCTCCAAGGCAGCTTTTTGAGGTTTCATAAAGCATCACCTACACATCACCAGATCAAACAGAGAAGCACCTAGAAGCCTGGTGTCTCAAGAAGTTGACAGGGAAGTTCCAGAAATACAGAGTGTGATTTCTATAATTCAATGAAGGGTAATTGTAGGTAGTTATTCAAGACGACTGTCTACATTTTCATCAAGTACCTATTGATGACTCATATTAGTTTGTTTCTACAGATCTCTGTGACCCAAGACTGCAAATGGGGGAAGAGTCCTAAGATAGCTCATTGGACTCTGAGTCCTCTGTACGAATACAGTGGGGCCTTGACTTACGAGCGTCCCGACTAATGAGTTTTTCGAGATACGAGCCGTCTCTCAGCCGATTTTTTGCTTTGAGTTGCGAGCTAAAATTCGGGTTACGAGCCAGCTTCAGATACCCCACCGCTAGTTGGCCCAGCAAACGTCACAGTGAACGCCACAACATCAGCCCAGCATCACGTGTCTCACTTGTTCACTTTTTGATTTGACATACGAGTAATTTGAGTTACAAGTTCTGTCACGGAACGAATTAAACTCGTAAATCAAGGCCCCACTGTATACCTATCCTAACAAGTCCAGACAGTGATTAAACGGCGTGAGGTGCAGGCCCTTGAACCTGGCCTGAAATACAGCACCTGGGTCTGAGCCTGGCATGCCCACTGCCGAGCTGTGTAGCCCCAGAAGCTGCTTGCTCTGCGGATCTGCAGCTCGCTGCTCTGCCTTAGTCCAACAGTTGCAGTGCTTGGCGGAGAAGTGGCTTTAGAAGTGAGGAATTGTAGAGGATGGTGTGTTGGCTAGGCCTCATTAGAATCAGATGCTGATCTCCTTACATGCAGACATGGATCCATTTAAAAATGGACCAAACTATTTACATATTAACAAGTAGTCAGGACTTAATTTTTTTTCCTTTTTGATCTAAAGTCATGCTCTCTAAAACAGATTAACAAATATGGGCTTAGCAGCCTGACTGGCCTGTGTTCAAAGCTCAGCTCTTATGAGTGTGGCCTTGAGTGGTGGAGGCAACAGCCCCTTTGTGAGAGAGCTGTGGTGAGGCTCTCGCTCGCATAGTGGGAGCAGTTGTAGCAGGAGCTGAGGTTAGTCATGACAGGCTAGCCTTTAAATCCCAAGTTAGATGTTTTTTCCACATCGGGCTCCTGTGTAGCCATTTGTAGGCAAGGCTCTGAGGAAGTAGGATAATTGTTCATGATCTTCCCTTTCTAATACCCATGTCCCTCTACAAGTTTCTTTGACGTTCTAAAATGATCTCTTTTAGAAATATTCAAGTCTGCTAGGAAAAACATTTTAAAATGAGCTAGTCTATCTGCCAATGAACCACTTTGGGCACATGGGTCTTCATATTATCTTTTCATTGGGTTTTCTTAGAAAGGCAGGGAATTGTGGTGGTTTTCACTGTGGTCTGAAAGCTGTAGGACCATCCCTCGTGAGCTTCCATTTGTTTCCCCGATTCAGTTAAACAGAGCTGGTTCATTGCTCAGTGTTTCAAGTGCTTCTCATTTCTCTTTATAAGAAGGAATCAAAGTGGTGTCTGGAACAGTGTTTTAGAAGCCTTCTGACCAACCCGAGGACCAGATTAGATGGATCATCCTCCCTACCTCATTGAATCTTTTCAGTGTGGATATTTTCCTCCCTCCCTTCCTTCCAATCCAGTGCCTTAAATCTCATGTGAGGCCTGTGGGGCCTGTGGGTTTGTCGTTTCCTGGGATTTTTAAACTCCTGGAAACCTGGATGAAAATCACAGTGAAATGAGTAGGTGTACTTACACCCTCCTTTTTCTGGTTAACCACATTGTGCTGTTCCTGTCTCTGCCAAATCACCCTCCCCGTGAAAACCAGTCCCATCATAGTGCGAGGCGGGCGTGGCGACACCGTCTTGTGTGGGTAACACTGCCTGGCTCCAGTCCACCCTGACAGCTGTTTGCTCTTTAGCACATTCTCCCCTTGCACCACGTCAGGATATTTGTGGCTAAAAATGGGAGCACTTTTTGTGAACACTCACACAGTTCTAATTTTGAAAATAACCAGGGCTAGCGGAGAATTGAAGGGCTACCCCACAATGATAGATTAGGCTTCCTCGTGTGTTGCAGAGTATTGTCTTGTGGATGGGTAAATAGTAAATAGTAACTGAACTGCTTCTTAAGGGCAAATGGGCTAAGGTCCAAATTGATAAGGTAGCATCTGTATTTACCAATTATGATAAGCAATCCAAATATTTCAGCTAATCTTTTTCATTTACCGTCCATGAACTAAGTCCAGGTGTCCCGGATTTAGTAGGTTCCATAACACTTACTAATCCCATAGGAAGTTACATGCATTGGGCAACTTTGGGGATTAGATGGGCCATCAGGGTTCAGAGACCTCTGAATGTAGACTGTGACTAATTTATGGGAGGGTGATTGTATAAAAATCACTTGTGGAAAATGAATTTGTGAGCAATCTAAAAATGATCTAATTACATTTCTGAAGGTTTATGCACAGTCATAAAAATTACAGATTTTAAAATAGTACTCTTTGAATTTACGGAGTGTTTACTCACTTTTCATTGTACCCATATTAACCTTGGGAGATCGGAACAACAGAGCTCGTCCTGAGCCATCAGTGAATGAAAAGAGACTGGCATGAGACTAAATTCACAGCAAATAAGTAATTCGCCCAGGGTCACCTTGAACCAGTACTTGTGGCAAAAAGACCAATAAACCTTGGTTTTCTGATTCCAAATTGCAGGCTCTTTCAGAAAGGCTCCTTCTGTACCCTTTGTTAATAAATATGTCTCCCTCCTTCCTCCTTAGTTGAGTCACTTTCGTGGCCCCCTTTTTAATTTCTGGCAATAACATAAAATAGAATATCACTCCCGTGGCAGGCTGTCATTTTGAAGATACCAGATGGTGCCACTCTCTAATAATTCCCATTTTCTCGGGTAGCTCTCATTTCCCACATACAGGCTCCTACATAGCCATTTGTAGTGAGGCTCTGGGGAAATAAGATAGCTGCTCATGATCTTCCCTGTCCATTACTCAGTCCCTCTGCTCAAGTATTTTTGACATTCTAAAAATGATCACTTTTAGAAATAGTTCAAGTCTGCTAGGAAAAACAAGGTAATTCTCCTTGAGCTGCTAAGTTTTTCTGTCTGCCTGCCTGCCATAGATTAAAGTTTGCAGAGCTCGCACTGCTATTCCTGGATTAAATTCTCAACAAATCCTATTAAAACTCTCTAAGAAGGGGAAAAAAACTTTGAACCTAGGGCTGAACCCAGCCTTAAAAGTTGCTCTTTTCCCACATTTTTGTGGTCTTTACTAACTTATTTACCTGCTGTTCTTTTTCTTCCTTATTTTCAAAATTCTGTCTGTTTTTGAGCACAGCTCTCCAGTAGGTGCTTGTTCTGCGGTTAGGATTTTGGACCAAGAGCTCAATGCCCTTTGTTATCCTTTCATTTCCTATAGATGCTGATTCATATAATTGTGGGCATGATGTTGTAATGCAAAGTCTCTGCAAATTACCAATGACCCAACTGTGATGTGCTCTGCAACTGTAGGCTTCCACTCAGCAAAGTCCCCATTAGTGACATCTTGTCATCTCCCCCAGAAATCAAGGAGATGGAAAAGCAAGCGCGAGGGATCGGACTCTGGCAACCGACCAATCAAGGCTGCTGGGAAAGTTGTCATCCAGGATATTGCGTGCCTCCTTCCTGTTCACAAGTCACTGGGCGAGCTGTACATGTAAGTTCAAGGTTTTAAGTGTGCCATGCCTATCATTTAGTCATGATTATCAAAGGTCCTACCCCCCGCCCCCCTTTTTTTTAAGTTTTGGAACCCTTTCTTCAAAAGCAGTTTTAGGAGTCGCCCAGTATATTAGCTTTCTATTATTGCATAACAAATTACGACAAACTTAGTGGCTTAAAACAACATACACTTATTACCTCACAGTTTCCCTGGGTCAGGAGCCTAGGCGTGGCATAGCGGGCCCTTGCCCCGGTCCCACCAGGCTGAAGTCATGGAGTGGACCAGGCGGTGTGCCTGTCTGTGCCCAGGTCCTCTTCCCGGCTCATGCAGGTTGTCACAGAGTTCGGTTTCTTGCAGCCATTAAGGGAGGCGAATGTTCGAGACCAGCAGGAGTGTCTCACTGCCACTTCACCTTCTTTCTGAGGTGTCACCTGAGTAGGTCAGGCTCACTCAGGACAATCTCCCTTTTGACAAATTCAGAGTGAATTGATTAACAATAACCTATTCATGGGAGTGACGTCCCATCAGCATGCACTGGTCTCACCCCACTTAAAGGGAGGAGCTTATAACAGGTACTCATACCAGGGGCAGAAATCTTGAGAGCAGCCTCAGAATTCTGCCTCCCAGGCCCACTCAGGGAAACAGATGAAGCGGAGCCGCTTTGGCTGAAGGGAAGTGGGAGGCGAGTGACAAGCATACAGAGGCCGGCCTCTGCTTCCCCTTCTTCCTGAGCCTGGACACATGACAGAAATACTCATTTTGTAGTATGTGCACAGCATACCACTGTCTGTGTTAGAAACTACAGTGTTGTGTCTATTTCAGTCCATTTTTATTCCACTCTCAAGTCTGGGGAACTTCACAGCTAGGCAGGTTAGCAATCGGTGTTTTGTTTTTGTCACTGACTTGAGATAGAGAGGGAGAGATTTGTTGTCCCACTTATCTACGCATGCATTGGTTGGTTACTGTGTGTGCCCTGACCAGGGATTGACCCGCAACCTTGGCGTATGGGACCATGCTCTAACCACAGAGCCACCTGGCTGGGCCAGCAGATTGGTTTTTGAGTCTGGCCTCCTCTTCTGGCTTCAAAGAGGTGAGCGATTTCACCTTCCCCAGGCCTGAGCCCACAGCGTAACATCAGCTGCTAGCTAAGCATTTTCTTCTTACATACAAGGGATCTCTAGGTCAATACAAAGAAAGCATTTCTAGTGACAACCAAAGAGGCAGTTTTCAGTCTGTTTATTAAACAAGGAGTAATTGATTTAGGAAATTAGATCAGAAAGAAACTCTCATTCTTTTTACATTTCAGATTAAATGTAAATGATATTCAAGAAACGTGTCAGAAGAACGCCACTTCTGCCTTGCTTGTTGGAAGGAAGGATCTTGTCCAGGTATGTCCATCCCTTTTGCTGGCATCTGGATCTCCCCCCCGCCTCCGCCCCCCCCCCCCAGCAGGGTGTCTTCACTTTATAGTTGTGGTTTAGTGACATTTCAAGGTGTGACTCCTATTTTTCATTTTCTTTGCCAAATTACAGGACTAAGTAGCTTTCTAAATCCCTTGGATGCTTTTCTTAATAGAGCTTAGTTGAGAGGATCCTAAAGCTTTGACTATTTTTTATTGCATCTCTTTTCTATTTTAGTACCGTGGTGATGGTTGCACACCAAATTTAGGTATCTGTATCTTTACCATTTGTATTCTCAATTCTGTTTCCTTTTTACTTTAAAAAATGCTTCATTTCTTAAAATGTTTACATTCCTTTAGAATAGACACGTTTAGTTTTAAAATACGATGTGGTCTTACAAAAATTTAAATCTTCATTTTTACAGGAACACATCCGTATATTAAAGCAAGCTGCTCCTTGACTGTTTTTAACAGCTTTATGGAGAATATAGTCCATATACCATGCGATTCACCCATTTAAAATGTACTATCTAATGGCCTTTAGTATAGTCACAGGGTTTTGCAAGCATCACCACAGATACTTTCAGAATATTTTCATTACCCTAGCTCACAATCCTTCTTCCGCACCCAGCCCTAGGCAACCACTAATCCCCTCTCTCTCTATTGCACCTTTATTCTTTAGTGCGAGGATTAGATTGAGCAATGGAAACTACTAGCTGTTGTCCTGTCCACTTAGTTTTTTCCCTTATAACCCTCCAAATGACCCGAGCTAAGGCTTCCCTTTATTTCTATTTGTAGAAAACCCCTAGGATTTCCATTTGTCTCCTAATAAATACTGTAAAGTTTTTGCCCACACCCTGTTAGGTCAATATGATCTATTTCTCTAAGAACCTAGCCACCTAAAGTCCCGTGAATACTAAGAAGCCAAATAAAGCAGTAGAAATCTTGTGGAATGTATAACAGGATGCACAGGTATGACTCAGCACCCTAGTGGTGTGATCCCAGACTCTCTCAGCCTCTGTATCTTGGTGGGGTAAAAGTAATTTTACAGTTGTGAGTATGTGAAACACAGTTTATTCTTGTATTATTTATTAATTATTGTACAATTTTCCATACGAACAACTGTAAACCACTTTTGTCCCACCCTGTATATGTGAAATGGGAACCGTAAGAATAATTACCTCATAGGGTTGGTGGGAAGATTGGTAAATGCAATGCTAAGGCAGACCCAATGTTCATGTTCTGAAAAAAATTCTCTGAGGCAAAATTACTTTCTAAAGTGTGTTTTTAAAAAAATATTTTTATTGATTTCAGAGAGGCCGGGAGAGGGGGAGAGAGAGACACAGAAATATCAATGAATGATGAGAGAGAATCATTGACTGGTTGCCTTCTGCACGCCCCCCACTAGGAATTGAGCCCACAACGTGGGCATGTGCCCTAACCGGGACCAAACCAGGACTTCTTGGTCATAGGTTGACACTCAACCACTGAACCACACTGGCCTACAATTCTGTGTTTCAATAAGCTTTCAGCTTTGCAGCTCTCAGAGGAGCAAGGGCTTGATGTATGGGGAGGAGAGATGGGATTCTCTCATGCTTCCTGTTCCTGTCCTCACCAGTCTGAGTTTGGGTGTTTGTCTTGATTTGTCCAGGTTTGGTCGCTGGCTACAGTAGCTACAGATCTTTGCCTTGGTCCGAAGTCTGATCCAGATTTGGAAACACCCTGGGCTCGGCATCCATTCGGGCGGCAGCTGCTGGAGTCACTGTAGGTTTTGAAAGCTGAAAGTGAGGAGAAGAGTGATGTAAACTTTAGGTCTGTCAACACTTTCAAAGCTGTTGTCTAAGAGGAAAGTGCAGAGGCCCGAGGAGTGAGAGGTAGAAGCGAGAGCTCTTCTTTTTGTGCTGCAATATTTCTGTGCCAGCTAACTTTTTATGGCAGAAGGAACTAGGCAGTCAGTATTTGTCATCTCTAACAGGGACTTGAGACTCATGAGTCCTTTTGAAGCTTAAGTCCATAAGTCACGTCAGTCTGAACTCAGGAGTTTGAGCTCCTGCGATGGTCAGTTTCGTGGGTGCTGTGGAGCTTTGCCCCTGAGGACAGGTTAAAGAATTGCACAGTGGGTTTCCTGTCTTCCAGAAGCCACGATGCTTTCACCGTTAGACAGTTTAGGAAAACATTGAATTTATTTTGATTTATTGCCCTGAAATATGGCATACTGGAAATAAAATATGCAAAATGATTTACAACCAGGTAAGCCTCTTGGATCTCTGTAACAATGAGGCCCAGGTCCTGAGAGAGAAGCAGAAAATCTCTGCTTTTTTTCAGGGGAAGGTTTGCTTAGTTACTGGTTGAGGCCAGACTTGGGACAACATGTGCTCACACTTAAGTTGCCTCAGAGTAATGCAGGGATGATAATGCTTGCTCTACACACTTCCTGTAAGGCTCACTTAAGAGAGTGAGCGTGAAACACCTTAAAAGATATTAGACATTGCTTGGTAGGAAAGTACCAACATTATTCCATCGCAAAGGCCAAAACTCCCCGGTCCCTACCTCACATTCTAGCATAGTGGCCCTAAAAGGGGCAAAGGGGATATGAGTACCTACAAGTGAAGCTATTCCTTGTTGTTCTTATTTAAGAGCTCACTTTCCTAATCCCCCTCCTGAGTCGATGGCCTGCTCACCATACTGTGGGGTGGGGTGTTCTTGAAGCAACTTCACATAGCCGTAGGTTACGTGAACGAAGTTTCGAGGAACCCCCAGAAAGCAGGGTTCTGCCCTGGAGTTGGGAGGCCGAAAGGATGGCTTCACTCAGGTGTCAGTTTAGTCTGCTTAGTTCTTGGAGAAGCTTTGTTCCAGTCCGAGCCCGTGCCTGGTGCCAGTCAGAAGCTTTCAGATTAGTATTCTAGGTCATCTGTAATACTTTGATATATTTTATTCCAAAGCAGATTTAGCCAAACTCAAAGTAGATCAAGCCTCTGGATCTATAGAAAGCCCTGGTACCTGACAAGGGTTTTTGAGGAGGAATTGAGCATCCTCTCTTCCCTATTCCTACGGCAACAACCACCATGATTGTGCTAGCATCCTTCCTCCATTCTCCTCTTGACTTGTTTTCTCTCCTCTCACCTCTTCCTCTCCAGGTTGGCTCATTACTGTCAGCTCCGGGATGTGCAGACGCTGGCCATGCTCTGCAGTGTGTTCGAAGCCCAGTCCCGGCCTCAGGGGATACCAAACCCTTTTGGGCCTTTTCCCAGTCGTTCATCTAATCTGGTGGTGTCCCACAGTCGATACGTAAGCTTGTGGTTTTCTGGTTTGTGTCTGGCGTTTCCTAAAGGTAAACCTTCATGGGGGGTGGTGTTCTGATGCCGCTCCTGTTCGTTCTGCAGCCCAGCTTCACCTCCTCTGGTTCCTGCTCGAGCATGTCAGACCCAGGGCTCAACACCGGTGGCTGGAACATAGGTTGGTACGAACCCGACTTAGCCCACGCTGGGTGTTTAGTTCTCCAAGAGCTGCGTGTGAATTGTTAATAACATGTAATCTTTAGTTGATGAATAGTCTCTGTTTTCTTGTGTTTCTCATTTTTCTTTATCTTTCCTATGATGGCGATACTGTAGTCAGCAAGGCCTGGACCTCATGTTTGAACAGGCCAGTTTCTGGGAGGGCTTTGTGTCTTGCTGGGTTGCTTTACATCCCATGACCTTGAGAAGCTGACAGGGAGACTTCCCAGTGTCCACCCTCAAAACCTAGCCCTGTCCTTCCTCCATCACACGTGCCCGGTCATCTGCCACTTCCTGCTGTGTCCTCTTCAATGCAGAGAATAACACCGAGCCCGATTCCAGCTGACCATAAAGACCTATTTGATGTGTATTTGTGGTTTCTGGGTTTTTTAAATTTCTTTTAAAAGATTATCTTAATTTCCTTGATTATAAAAGTAATACATGCACAGTGAAGAAAAAACAAAGTATTGGAGTAGAACATAGTAATCATTGACTGCCCCACCTAGAAATAACATCTGTTAACATTCCAGAAAATGTTCTTCCAATCCTTGTGTACGTGGGGTGTAGGAGGGGTCATTCTGTATGTGTGATTTTGAGTTCTGCTTTTAATCTCATCATGAGCTTTTCTCATGTCATTACAAACGTCATTATAAGTAATGGCTGCCTGATATGCTACTACATCACTCTACTGTAGTTTGCTTAATCGTTACATGTGTCCTTATGAGGCTACTGAGTGGCACCAAGACAAAAAGGTAAGGCTAGGAAAGAGTTCTGTTTAATTATATTTCTCAGGATCTTCAACTTAGCTTCCTTTTCTTCGGGGGAATTTATGAGAGTTTTTAGATATTTTCCATGCCTTCTCTGACTTGCACCTTCCCTTCGCATTTGATTTTCTTCAGCGGGGAGAGAGATAGAACACATATCTTCACCTTGGGGAGAGTCTTCACCAGAAGAAATCCGCTTCGGGAGTCTGACCTACAGTGATCCTCGTGAGCGAGAGCGTGACCAGCATGATAAGAACAAAAGGTAACGGCCTTCCCAGTGCGAGGGGTGGCTGCATGGTGCTTGGCTTCTCCCGAAGCAGGGCTCTTGCGTTAAGAAAGGTATATAAAGTGCCATTTGGTATTAAGCTCATTTTTTTCTGCAAGGAACTGACAGGAAATCTTTTGAATTTTTTCCAGGCTCCTGGATCCTGCTAATACCCAGCAGTTCGATGACTTTAAGAAATGCTATGGAGAAATCCTCTATCGCTGGGGTCTGAGAGAGAAGCGAGCGGAAGTGCTGAAGTTTGTCTCCTGTCCCCCTGACCCTCACAAAGGGATCGGTGAATATGCTTTTTTTCTCTCTCTTCCCGTCATTATCTGAAAGCTTCTTTGATTTAATTTATCCATAATGTAAGACCTGGAATGACGTTTTAGTTTCTCGTTGATAAGCAGACATTGCTGAAGCATTTTGAGTCTATTTTAAGCTTCTGAAAAGCCTTACATTTCATGACAAGAGTAAATTTTTATTGTAGTAGAAGTAGTTTTCTATGCAATACTCAGATATTGATTGGAAGTCAGAATAAAACTCCTCTTAGGCACAGTGCTAACACATTTCTTCTCATGGAACTCACAGACTAGTGGGGGAGAAGAATTAAGTAATTAAACATTGTGATCAGTATTTAACAGCAAACAGAAAGGCCGCTGGGGCAGGGAGAGAGGGAGGGAGGATTTTAGAAGCTGTGATGAAGTGTATTGTGAAGGCCTTTCTGAGGAGCTGAGGACTGAAGAATAAGGAGCCATATGTGGAGAGGCAGCTAGAGGAGCGCCGTGCTGGGAGAAATGACTTGTTATTTTGAATGAGTGAAGGGAGCCCAGTGTGGCTAGAACACAGTGTTGAGAAGAGTGGTATAAAGTTAAAATGAGATTGATAATTAGATTATGATTATAAAATACACTCTATTTATATATAAAGTAAGATTAGGAGGATAATTAGGAACTTGTAAGTAAAGAATTTGGATTGTATTCTGAGTTCAATGGTAAACTTCAAAGGGCATTAAGAAGTAAATTACTTGCCCAGCTGGCATGCTCAGTGGTTGAGCATTGACCTATGAACCTGGAGGTCATGGTTCAATTCCCAGTCAAGGCATATGCCCGGGTTGTGGGCGTGATCCCCAGTGTGGGGAGTGCCGGAGGCCCAGCAGATAAATGATTTTCTCTTATCATTGACGTTTCTATCTCTCTCTTCCTCTGCCTTCTGAAGTAAAAAAACAAACATGCAAGTTACTTGCTCTGGTTTCCATTTTAAGAGGGTCACTTTGGCTGTTACCTGAGGAAAGGATTGGAGGAGCAGAGGCAGAGGTAGGAAGACTGTTCAAGTAGTTAAAGAGAGACCAGCAGCTCAGTCTAGGGGTGATATTGATGGCAGTGGGGAGAGATGGGTGTATTAAAAATATATGTTAGAGGTAGACTAATTATGACTTACAAATCAGCTGGACGTGGATTGAGGAAAAGAGACAAAGCTTGGATGATTCCTAGGTGTTCAGCTTAAGCAGCTGGGTAGATAGATGGTGGTGCCATATTCTAAGATAGAAAAGACGGGAAGAAAATTGAGAGCTCAGCTGGGGACAGTCGGAGATGAGGTGTGAGATATCAGACTATAGCAGTCATGTAGGCAGGCGGGTGTGAGTCTGGAGCTCAAAGGAGAGACTGCAGCTAGAAACAGGAACTTGGGAATCTTCAGCATATCAGTGGTGGGGACTGAAGCTGTGAGAATGGGTGCATTTACCTGGGAGCTGGTGGGTGGGCAGAAAGAGTATGAGAGAGCAAATGAGAGAGCCCACCCACTCCAGGCCTTGAGAGGAAACTGGTACATGGAGCTTGAGTCTTGGAGGAAGAACCAGAAACAAGGACTTAGAATGAGACACCAGTGAGCAAGACTGGTACAAAAGAAGCTGAGAGAAGAGCTGTTTTTTAAAGGGTGAAATGGAAGACTGCCAAAGAGAGTGGACTGAACACACGTTGATTTCTTCTCTCCTTAAAGAGTCTATATGGAGCTTTTCTGAAAAGGCATAACCATGCAAGAAGTCATGTTGGCAATAAAACTTGTGACCTGGGAGGCAGGTCGGTTAGTGGTAGAGATTTTATAGGGACAGAGAAAGCTGAACCCCAAGCTGGCAGGCAGGAGAACAGTAAGATACAGGGCAGAACCTCCAAATGGCTCAGGAATGAGTGTACCCGGTGCCTCTAGAAGCAGCACGAAGGGGAAATTAAAAACTGGAGGATTGTTTTGTGGCTTTTGTAGGGTCCCAGGTCCCTGCTTTACTCCAGCAGAAAACTGGAAGTTCATTCTTCAGAGAAGGTAAATGCATTTCCAGATTGAGAGGGCCTGCCAAGCACCTCGAATAATGAATGAAGAAAGGCTGGATTCTTTATCTCTCTGGAAGACCCCTGGAGCTTCCGGAGAGAGAAAACAGGTTACATGCAAGGGACACTTCAGGAGCAGTGAACTAGATACTGGAAACTCGCTGACACTGCAGCAGTCCCTTCAGAAGTCTCAAGAACATGATTTCTAACCTCGATTCTGTACCCAAGTTAGCAGTCAAGTGTGAGAATGAACGCTCAGCCAATCTAAGGAGGAGGGATAGATTCAGTCCAGGAAACCAGGAAGTCAGAAAGACAGTGGAGGGAGATGGTCGTGGCGGACCGGAGGTAGACCAGTCCAGGTTGGAGCTTCCGGAGCGTTGTCTCCAAGAAGAGAAAACTGAAAAAAAATATCTAGTGTAGTTCAGTATATTTATAGAAGATTCAGATATTTAAGGGAGAGAGTAGAGATGAATTATTGATAAGTACATAGCAAACTAAGCAAATGAACGAAACAAGACAGTTACTAACTCCAGGAGAAGCAAAATGTGAAGAAGGAAAAGTCATGACTTGAATAATGTTCACCTAGATAAATCATGTAAAAACAGAATAGTGATCCAAGCAAATGGTAATGGAACTGCCTGGGAAAGATGAGGGACAGGTGGTGTGTGCGTGTGGTGGGGGAGACTGGGGAGTGAAAGAGAGCTCCCACTGCGGAAGGTCATAGGTAATGCTTAAATATGAACATTAAGAAATAGCTTCATAACCAGCGGTGTTTAGAGATAGGGAGGTAAAAACAAAAGAAAGAGTGAAATGGGTTGGAAGGATTTTCCTCGGGAGTGTTGGGGGTGGAAGGGAATGCTGGCTTTGGCAATAGTGTTGTGCATGTGTATCTAGTTTCAATTTAAAAAAGAAGTAGAACAAATAATAGATAGCTGTAGATACTAAATAACACAGATTATTTTAGCATGGATTATTTTGGTGTGTGTACTTGAAGAAATGCAAAGACACAAAAGGCTCTTTGGGCAACATATTTTTCAGAGCATCTAAATACATGAAAGTATATCAAGGAGAGATTAACGATGGCCCAGAGCAATTGTCAAACCAGTCTAACTTGGCTCACAATTTACCTAACGAGGACCGCCATAAAATTTTCTCCAAAGTTACCGTGTATTTAAAGATAATTTATTGGTGCTTTTTATGACTGCCGGTGGTCAGGAAGCAGAGAAACTGGCTGTGGTGGAAGAAAGGTCCCTCTTCTGTTGTAGGAAGCAGGACAAGGGGACAACCCTGGGGAGACTGGAGGACTTGCTGGCAGAGGGATGAAGGGGCTTTGTTTTCTCAGGGAAGTGAGAGAAGAGGCCCAGGTGATGGGAGCAGAGGTGTGAGGGAGGCGTTTTTGGAATGTGGCGAGGTGTGAAGTAGCCACCTAGGGAGTGGAAGAGAAACCGAGTCAGAGCCCTGCACAGACACATCATGATGGTGGCCTTCTCGCGGGACCACTCGCAGGACCGCTCGGGGCAGACGTGGAGTGGGCAGCTGATCGGGCTCAGCCAGGGCAGAGGTGCTGCCGTGGAGGGAGAGAGGCAAAGGAGCTGAGCATATTTGCCACAAAGTGATTATAAATTTGGACTGTCATTCAGGCTGACCTCAGGGGAGATTGCAGCTAGAGGGGGGCAGATGGAACGAAAGTGAAAGTGATGGTGGTAGACTAGAGGTGAGAGGGCAGCCACCTGAGAGGTCAGGTGTGCAGAAGGTTGGTGGCGTGGATTTTGGAGGCACCAAGGATAGTGCCAAGAATCAGTTTATTAACACACAGTTTATTAATCTGCAGCTGTTGGGGGTGGGGAGGGGAATGAGACACAACAGCCACCACAGCTACAGGCACCGGGGGTTGGACCAGGACCTGCGAGAGCCAGGCACCTGCTACCCCTCGGCCCACACCCTGCCACCTGAGTGACAGCAGCTCCTCTTTATAACACTGCGATCGTAAAGATGGAAAATCATTGGCCTAGCCCTGGCCAGTGTGGCTCAGTTGTTGGGCATCGTCCTGTGCACCAAGATGTCACTGGTTCGATTCCCCGTCAGGGCACATGCCCGGGTTTCAAGTTTGGTCCCCAGGAGACAGCTGGTTGATGATTATCTCTTATCAATGGTTCTCTCTCTCCCTCTCCCATCCTTTTTCTTTAAGATCAATTTAAAAACATATTAAGAGGGGAAAAAAGAAAATTGAAATCATTGGTCTGATAGGCTCCTACAGAGACCTAAGATGTACGCATCTTCCTTAGCTCACAGTGCCCAGTTTGCTTTCGCAGAACTGAACTGACGCTGTCTCTCGTTCTGGCCATCTCTGACCGTTTCCAGAGTTCGGCGTGTACTGCAGCCACTGCCGGAGCGAGGTCCGCGGCACGCAGTGCACCATCTGCAAGGGCTTCACGTTCCAGTGCGCCATCTGCCACGTGGCAGTTCGGGGATCGTCCAATTTCTGCCTGACCTGCGGGCACGGGGGACACACCAGCCACATGATGGAGTGGTTCCGGACCCAGGAGGTGTGTCCCACCGGGTGTGGGTGTCACTGCCTGCTTGAAAGCACTTTCTGAGCTCACAGACCGTGGGAATTGTCGGACATCCCAGAGGACCCCATGAGTGCCGGCGACAAGCTCTCTGCCAGGAGCGAGGCTGAGCACCCATTCCTCCCTAGACGGGGGTGTGCCCCTCCCGGACCGTCCAGCACCGCTTGCCCTCTCTTCCGAGGGGGCATGGATGTTGCTCGAGGTGGGTGAGGGCAGGCGTGCAGAGCTGTGAGGCCAAGTGGAAGTTTTCTGGGAGACAAGCACCTGCCTCCAGAGCCGTGTTGACTTTTAAGGTGTTATCCTTAACCCCTGGGCAACGTCCTTTCTGATGCCTTCACAGAGCCAAGGTCAGACGCAAGGGACAGTCTCGAGCCAAAGGACAGTGGGCAGGAATTTAGTTGGCAGTGACCTCTGACATAAGTTGGTACATTTCATGAACTGGTGGGTTGCGGTTTAAAGTATAATACTTAAATTATGAATATATGATGTACTTAAGGATTCTTAAGATGTATTTTTTATTCGTTATTTCTCTTCCAGTTGCTCCCCGTGGCTAATAAAATTCTAGTAATTGTTTCAAAAAAAGAGACAGAGGAAGTTGAACAATGACCTAGTGAATCTTTATTTTTACCCAACTTCTAATTGAGGTTAACTCTTGGATAGGAACAAAGCCAGTGCTCAGATTTTCAAAGGAAATGCTGATGTACTTTTGTCATCTGGCAGGAGAAAATAGAATCTGACATTTAAGGTTCTTCCCCACCCCAAGCGTCTTTTAATCATTTCTTCTAGCAAATGGAAAATGAGGCGGCATCGCAGCACTGAGGTAACAGTCTCCATTGCCGCGTGCAGGCGGGCTGAGCTCCGGTAAGTGCCTTCACTCTCCTTCGCACACTTCGCCCCGCGTTTATCTGGGTGCTGACCGGTTATGACTCAGTTCTTCAGAACCATTTTCAACGCTTCGCATTTCGTATGTGCAGGAAAAAGAAATCTTTTTTATATTGCTACTGAAATTTATATTTGTTTCTTAGAATTCTACCATTTCAAATTGATTAGCTTAAGAAATATAGCTACATGTGTTGTACATCGTTGTGTTTTAAACTACAGGTCAGGACTCATTAATGGACTGTGAAATCAATTAAGTGGATAAAAAACAGCATTAAAAAATGAAATAGAGTAGAAGAAAAATGATCAGAATTTCCACACTAGTTAGGGCCAATATTGTTTTGTGTAACTTGTATTTACAAGTATATATGCACGCACTGCACATGTGTAGTAGTAGATCACAATGTAAATGCATTTTTTTACTGAAGCTTATGGTCAAAACATTTTTAAAACACTGTTTTGGATGTTTATACTTTGTCCCGTGTGTTACTGGGTTAGAAAAGCCTCGGTCCTTGCCCTGGCTGGTGTGGCTCATGGACCAAAAGGTCATCGGTTCGATTCCCAGTCAGGGCACATACCCAGCTTGTGGGTTCATTGCTGGTGCATGCGGGAGACAACTGATCGATATTTCTCTCTCACATCGATGTTTCTCTCTTTCTCTCTCCCTTCCTCGTGCTCTAAAAATCAATTAAAAACATTAAAAAAAATTTTAAAAAAAGAAAAGCCTCGGTCCTTTTCAGTGAGAGCAGAGCTTTAACTCTGGGCCCTGATCTGAGGTCCGACGCCATTGCCTGCGTAGAGTGACCTGAGTTACGAGGTGCAGCACGCACACTGGGGGCTGTAAAGGAGGCAACCAAGGAAATCGGAATTTGTTCACTCTTTGCCTTTCCCTGTGTGTGTGGACGCTGCTGTCATGGTGATCGCAGAGCAGGTTGACTGATTTACCGAGGAAAGGGTCTGTTGTGTTTCTCAGTGACGTCACACCGTTTGCAGAGAACAGTCCTTCCCTGTTCCCCGCCGTTCAGGCTGATGTAAAGATCTGTCCCTGTCTGACCCCATCAACAATTAGAAGTGTGTATTGTTACAGGAACCTCGCCTTCTATACTGAAAAACCTTAATCATGGGTATTAAGAACTTTAAAGTTTAAAACATTACATAATGTCTTCTTTCAATATATGTATTCCTTTTGAATTTCTGAGTTATAGGAACAAAAATCTAATATTTAAAAAATATTCACTCTTGGAAACACATTGGTCTGGGTGCTGGCTGTGAGCAGAATTCTCTTTGTCTCAGAATAGATTATTACAAGGTCCTAAGTCCTTTTTTGTTTGTTTGTTTGTTTAAAAAAATAATACAAGCTGTTCCAAAGTACTCTTGAACTTGGCAAAGAAAACAGGGCAAGCAGCCTTATTTGAGCACCAGAAACAAGAAGTTGCATGGGAAGAGCCCTGGCCAGTGTGGCTCAGTTTTTTGACATCATCCCATGCATGGAAAGGTTGCAGGTTCGATTCTTGGTCAGGGTACATACCCAGGTTTCGGGTTTAACCCCCAGTAAGGGGCATACAGGAGGCAGCTGATTGATGTTTCACTCTCACAATGATGTTTCTCTCTCTCCCTCTCTTAAACAACAAAAACAATAAATAATAAAAAGAATGGTGGAAGGGGTGAGCCTTCCGGGTAACCTACCAGCTGGATTTTGTTCCCCTGTCCTCGAGCCCTCATAAAACAAAAGTGGTGTAATGCTTTCCTTGGTAATGCCACATAGATAGACTCAATGTTACTTTAAGTTTTTAAAAATTTTATCTGATATAAAAATGCAGCCTATCTGAAGATGCCGAGTTCACATGCTTGGGAGTTGCTCTCCTTTTTTCAGTGATTCCCTAGGCGGCTGGCAGGATTTAGCAGAAAGCTGGGTCCTTTTTAGTGGCTTACTGCAGCGGGAACTTGAGGGAAAGACAGGAGTCATTCATTTTGTTAGAACACCAATGCTGACGGGTCAGGAAGCTCATGGATGGTCTCTACGCAACAGAACAATTTCTTAGAAGATTGATTTTGCTAGTGGTGGAAAAATAGTTCAGAAAACAGGGTTATAAATAACACCCTCTACTGTATGGCTTACTGTTTCAGACCTTCCTCAGAGTCGGAGCTGGCAGTAGGGTCTTATACACACACTCAAAGGGTAGACCCCAGGGGAGGAAACACACACCACAGTTTCCTCATTCTCCTTAAAACTTTCTGTCCTTATCAGAATGAGAAATACATCTACCCTATTGGCAGTCCATATGATTTAATTCATCAAGTACTTGCCATGAGATGAGCACTTGGACAAAGGGGACTATAGAGAACGTGGTCTCTGCCCTGCTGGAGTGTAGACTCTGGTAGGAATTTAGGAGTGCGTAAATGCTTACACTACAGTGTGCTGGTGGCCTCCAGGGCAGGGCTGAGTAAACCCACTGAGGGCAGAGATTGCAGAGGGACGGCAGCTTTGGCCGAGTTTAAGAGTGAGTGTTCTTCAGGTGGGGAAGAGCGGAAGGCGAGGATGGGCAGGGCTAAGGCAAGGATGGACCAGCAAGCGTGGCATTTGGGGGCACTGTATGTGGTTTCTTACAGGTGGAGCTTGGGCTGGGGCTGAAAATTGAGGCTGGGGAGCAGGCAGGAGCCAGAGTCCAGTGGGTCCCCAACAGTGTGCCTAGGAGCCCAGGTCTCCTCAGTCTTTTATTATCTACCAACTGCATAACGGATATTCCCCACAACACAAAACACCAATTTTAATTTTTAAAAGATCACTAACAGCCCTGGATGGTGTGGCTTGGTTGGGCGTCATCCCGTGCACCTAAAGGTTGCCAGTTCGATTACCATGCCTGGGTTGCGGGCTCTGTCCCTAGTAGGGGGCATGCAGGGGCCAGCTGATGAATGTTTCGCTGTCACATTGATGTTTCTCTCTCCCTCCCTCTCTCTTCCTCTCTCTCTGAAAATCAATAATAAATTTTAAAAATCTTTTATAAAAACACTATTAACAGAAGTGTTTAAATCAATCACGTCAGTCATCAACCAAGACCGTATCTTTCACCAAGGTGTCCTTATATTTAGCTTGATGATGTATAGCAAAGGGTAGGTGAGGTTCCATGTCTGGTCTATTTTAATTTTTACTCTTTTATTATTAATCTTTGCCTGTTAAGTAGGAAAATTCCAAACTCATTATTACAGGTCATTGAGACTATAAGCAAGTATTTGGTGGTTATTGAACACTAATTGGTGTTCCTGTCTATAGTCTCTTGATATCCTTTATATTTTAATATTATAAAATTCTTTGGTATTTTTTATTCAAACATGAATAATAAATTATGGAGAGATTTCCCCTGAAGACCTCATTCAGCATTTTGTCCAGTGGGCAAAAAATGAGCACATTTCTCAGAAGCTGAAAGAACAATAATTGGATTCTCAATCCCCTTTTGTTCTGTTGCAGCAGTTGGCTCTGCTTTTAAAGATATGCCCAGTAATAATGTCATCTGTTCCTTTCTCTGACAAGTAAAGAAAATCATCAGGTTTTGAGAAGACTTAAATACTCGTCAATTTACAACATAGTTTGTTCTTAAGAGCTCCTAATAACCTAACCTCAACATTCAATACTGTTTCTTCTTCATCGTTAAACTGCTTTGTAGTGATAGTGTTTTTCACTTGATATTAAAAGCACTTGATTGATTTCCAGAGAGGCCATGTATTGTTAGAAATAATAATAGCCATGATTTGACAAAATTTTGTAAACTACACTCTGGTGAATAGGTGCAAGTGGGTAACCAGTCCAATAAAATCTGATTCAGGTATTTATCATCATGCCTCCTATTTATAATCATTTCAGTTACACACTCCACATGGTTACACTTACAGATTCACTTGTCCCAACACAGAGTCATATTCTATGTTTTCTCTGAAATCCACGTTCTTGTTTACATCTAGGATGTATTCAAAGGGTTGTTTGCTACTTTTATCACTATTTTTATTTTTCAGTTAAACTTTTTGAGCTGTTTTTAAAAAAATATATTTTATTGATTTTTTTACAGAGAGGAAGGGAGAGGGGCAGAGAGTTAGAAACATCGGTGGAGAGAAACATCGATCAGCTGCCTCCTGCACACCTCCTACTGGGGATGTGCCCGCAACCAAGGTACGTGCCCTTGACCGGAATCGAACCTGGGACCCTTCAGTCCGCAGGCCGACGCTTTATCCACTGAGCCAAACTGGTCAGGGCCTTTTTGAGGTATTTTTTAAAAAATATGTTATTGATTTTTTTGGAGAGGAGGGAGAGGGTAAAAATAAAGGTTACACTTGTAAATAAGTTACACAAAACTTGGCAAGTTTCTGGCATGGTCATACAAGGGCAACAGAAGAGATCCCTGTGGTGATGGACACGTTTTGTATCTTAATTGTGGAAGTGAATACACCTTTATGCCTGTGATAAAATTGCACGGAACTAAATACGCATCCACAAAGCAGTACAAGTAAAACCTGAAGAATGTGAATAAGATCGGTGGATTGCATCCATGTCAATGTCCTGGGTGTGATAAGACTTTGGAGGTGTTATTACCTTGATTGTGGTGATGGTGTCACGGTGTATGCATATATCCAAACTCATCAACCCATAGACATTAAATATGTGGGGGTCTTTTTGTATATCAGTTAAACTGTAGAAAAAAATCCTGGGTGTGATAATGTACTAGAACTGCAGCCTTGCAATATGTTACCACTGGAGGAGACTGGGCAAATGGTACCCAGGGTGTTTCTATATTATTTCTTAAAGATGCATGTAAATCTATAATTATTTAAGAAAGGTTTAATTTTTAAAAAGAGCGGGATACTGAGATTTGCCACAATTGGTTCTGATTAATAACTGAACGTTGAGCATCCACTCAGGCAGGCTAGACTGGCTCTGGACCTAAATGAAAACTAATGATCAGTGGGGCTTGTGGACCCATTCTGTCCCATCCAGTGTGGGGGAGGAAAAATCAATTCCTCTACCCATCTTAGGTTCTCCAGCTGTGGCCTTGTAAATTAGACGGACAAAAGACAGAATCACAAGAGAAAAATAAAACATAAGTTTTTGAACTTGTGCAGTGAGTAACTCCCATAGGTGGCTTAGAAGTCAGGCTTATACATAGCATCCTCCACAAAGAACAGTACATCTTTAGAGACATGACAAGATAAAGAAAAGGGACCTTGAGTCCTTTGGGGCAGCATATTTGGGGAGGCAAATATATGAGAAACTGATGGTAGGTAAAAGCTAGTTAGTGAAGTTTGTTAACTAGATTCCTCTGGTGCCATCTCCAGACTGATAAGAGTGATTAACCTTTGTCCTTTCTGGCAGAGAGGAGAGGAGGAACACCTTTGTAAATGTATGTCCTGCTTTTAGGGGAGAGCAGAGAGCTTCCCCTATGTTTGCTGCTGATTAATTGCCTTCAGCTCAAAATAATTGTCATGTGAAAGAGGGCTGTTTTGGAGTGACGTATTCTGGTTTTCTTCACTAGGAGGCAAGATCCAATCCTTAATTAACGCAGTCAGCCCCTAATACGTGTACCAAGACCCGTGACTTCTCCCTCCTCCGGAAGAATTACCACTGGCGAGCGCTCCCTTACCTAACAAGCAGGGAAACTAGGGCCTCACACGTGGGTTGCTGTAGTGAATTTTCTTTCCTTGAGTAATAGTGAGTTGAGGCTTGGAGCAGTTAAAGTGACTTGAGCAAGATTTTCCCTAAGTTAGTGGAACCAGATATG